GGTACAATCAAAGGAAATATTCTTGCCCCTTTCCCTGTTCCTTCAATATTGTTCCTTAAGAAGCTTCCTGATTCACAAGGTTTTAATTATGAAAGCAAGACAGGGTCTTGCAGGGTGCAAAATCTCGTTTTTGAGTAGCCATGAAGGCTACCCATGGTACGCAGTGTGGTTGACTCTGAACAGTTAGTTACTCCTTCAGAACCCCATTAATCAGCAGTAGTGTGATTTGGAAGTTGATCTCGGTTAAGGGGGTTCTGATGGCCAAGATATGAAGTTACCTTTGGTTTAAAAATGGGAAAACAACCCAAGTCTAGCCAATGAGAAGAGAGAGGTTTTGGTAACAGCTTCTGGGAAAGTTCCGCCAGGCACTTACGAGCAGAGAGGAGTCAGTGTCTCCTCCAGTGTACATGGACAAGGAAGCACAAAGCCTGTCAGCCACCCTGCAACCATGGTAACGACTGGCCTTTGGATCAGGCCACCCAGTGGGTGGCCAAACTACCTGAGAGCACGACAAAGGTCTTCAATCCCGTTACTGAACTGCCAGATGAATTGACCTCCTTGACTTCCTCTCCGGTGAGGAAATAAACTTTCTACTTAAGTCAATTCAAGCTTGCAAACAAACATTAATGAATGCCATTTCTCTCTCCTACGTACACCCAAACCCGTATCCCCAGCTACTGTTCGCCGCTTCTGCTCATCTGTCAACCCCAAAATATATCCAAAACAGAACGCAGGTCCTTTCTGAACAGCATCAGTCTCTAAACTACCCAGGACCGTGGCCCCAGGGTCGCTCTTCCACTTCTGTGCAGGTCCTGCCATGTCTTCAAGTGGTGATCGTTCATCCATCTACTTACCTGTCTTGGCAGCCTCGCCGTCCTAGGTCAGATACTCACCACTGCATGGCTACACGACCACACATAGCCTCTCTAGATATGCGTCTTCTCATTCCTCTGCAAAACAGACCTCACTACGTTCGGGTTTGATTGTGATACAAAGTAATGGAGACATCTCTGGGGGTTGATCACAACACAGAAATGGTATTTTGTTCCTTCTGCTAAGATGGTATCTGCTCTTAAAGATGCAGATCAAATATCAGCTCTACTGTAAAGTTGCTTTTACTCCCTTGGTGCAAATAACTCCCAGACGCTCACACACTGGGTTTCTCTCCTAGCTCTGGTTCCTGCTACCTCACACTAGAATCCTTTAATCTGTGCCCCTCTCCTCCATATGAGAACAAGGTTTGCTTTGTACTCATCAGACATGCTCCCAGGACCCACGTGTTTGCTGACAAGGATCTGGAAGCTGGCTTTCTCCTGTCCCATACACATGGATTTTAAACACGAATTGGGGAGGGGAGGTTAAATGCCATTTTTATGGCCTAGAACTTAAACTTGCATTAGCATGCCTTTTAATCCCTCTTCTAGATTGCAAAAATGGATGTTAAAGTCCTAAACAAAACAAGTCCCAACCCTGATATATACTCTTAGACAGTTTCTCAACTCTAACAAGTGGACGGTAGCTATTATTCTGTGCTTATTCATTAGAATCCAGATAGTTTCTGGGTCTTTTTCTTTCTTCCTTTCTTCCTTTCTTTTTTTTTGTACTTCTCAGCCCATGACATTAATGAACATTTCAAGTAAAATACAAAGATTAGATTCTTGAATAGCACAAATTTAATTTTCACACTACCTTCCTAATTTTAATTATTTTAATTTTCACTGCCTTCCACCCTGAATTTAGCCGGGCAGAGCAGAGGTTCCAGGTTTGCATGTATGCAAGGGGTAAAATTGTCTTTTCCCCTTCTCTACAGTCACGGTTCCCTGTAAAATAAAAACGTTTTCTTTCTCAAACACATTGAAGAAGTCATCCCTCCTCCCTACTCTGGGCACTGCTCCTCCCCGCGGGGGAAGAGTGCAAACACCACCTTCCCTGGGACAGACGGAAGGTTGGAACAGGCCTTCACATATGGCCTGGCTCAGTGCTTCTTCGATCCTGTCTCTCCGAGCTGCATGCGTGCAGACCCCAGGCCGCCTCCTCTCCTCCACACGGCCAGCCCACAAACGTGGGGGGCAAAGCGCTCTTCTCTGTGCTACTCACTTGTTCGACTCAATTCAAGCAGGGAGTTTTCCAGCAGAAGAGAAGCTGATATTTCTGATGCCAGCCTCTTATAACAGTTCCCAGTGAGCCCAGCACTCGGAGGAAAGAGGGGCATGGCTACTCCCGCATGCACACAGGTAATTCTCAAGGATGTAAATTGAAGAAACGAATAGCTAAAGAGTATACGTTTGTATCTATTGCCTCTTTAAGAATACAAAGAGGTAATTTTTCAGAGTACTTATGAATATTTGAAACGTAGAATTTTCTTATATTTAATACGGCACATAGACAGCAATCCCTGAGTTAGCCTCTCTACTTTCCACAGAATATAAATGAAGACATGGGAAATGAAGAAAATTCTGAACACTGAGGTCTAACACAGACAATCCAATGCTAGAAATGGGAAGGGGGATTCCGGTCAACCTCCAGGAGGCTGACCTGGGAATCAATTTAAGGACCAAAGTTGCAGGGTATAAACTCAATACACACGAATCAGCTGCCTTTCTACATATACACTAACCATGTAGTCCTTTTAAAAGGTAAGTCAGTTCATGTCACGCCTCCACTCGACCCTGCAAAGTCTCCCCGTCCCATTCAGAGTAAGAGCCACGTCCTCCACTGGCCTGCAGACCCGTGCCCTCCCCTCCCCATGTCCCCTCTCTCCTCACTGCATTCCAGCCACACGGCTGCTTCCTGGACACCCCAAATATTCTCCTCTCTTAAGGCTTTTGCACCTGCTGTTCCCTGGGTCTCGAGTGCTTCCCCCTCAAACATCTGGAAGGTTGGCTCCTTCATGCCTTCAGGCTTTCGCTCAGGTGTGAGAGCAGCTGTCTCTGAGAAAGCTCTGCCCAACCCCCACTTCCCGCTCCTGGCCCCTCCCACCCCGATCAGGGCTCCTCCCACCCCATCAGTGCTTCTTGGTGCCCTCACCACAATATGCTGGTTCCACTTTCCTGTATTTTTTTATTGGTGTCTTTTCCAAACTAGAAATCTAAGCCCAACCAGAGCCCAGCCCTTGTACGTATTCATCACTGTATCCACAGTGCCTAAAATTGTGCGTGGCATGTCGAGTTTGAATAAAAATTGTCGAGTGACTGACTCTTCCCTTGTCCTATCCCTGGACAAAGTAACAAACACTCATGGGCTTGCCCAAAGGTACCGCAGAACCAGTGTCTTAGAAGAGAATCTCTGACAGATGTTCTAACAATGCATGCTGACAAAATTATTACCGCTAAGCAAGACCATGTGGGAAACCAGAGGAAACAGTCAACATACAAAGAAGAAAAATCAAGAGGAAAAGACTTAAAGACAAAAGATACATAAAAGAAGTAACAATCAAAAAAGATACTGGATTTAAAGAAAACAACTAAACAATTAACGCTTGCACTATGGGTAGGAACAAGCACAATTAACAAGACAAATACTGAAGCAGCGGTTTATTACTTTATTCAGCTAAAGCACACTGAGGGCCACTACATGTCAGGCAGGGACAAGGCAATGGAGATTCGTTTGGGTGCACGTGACGTGAGGTGGATGGACCCACGTGCTGCTGTGAGAGTCTAAGCCAGGGCAAGTGTTGGGCAGCCACCTTGGGGATGTGTATCATGGTAGCCTTAAAATGCGTCATTTCTAAACCAGTAATCCCGTATCTACTAAAATAACACAAAGAAATAGATATGGTCATAAAAAGTCTATTATAAAATTTATATTAGAAATATTTGTATATAATATATGTGACTACATTAGATATACAACAATGTTAAATAGCCCTGGCCAGTGGCTCTGTTGGCTGCAGCATCATCCTGTGCACCAGAAGGTCACAGGTTCAACTTCCCATCAGTGCACAGACATGGGTTGCGGTTCCATCCTTGGTCGGGGTGCATACTGGAGGCAACCAATTGTTGTTTCTCTCTCTTTTTTTCTCCCTTCCTCTCTCTCTAAAATAAATATATCCTCAGGTGAGGATTAAACATAAAATTTTTTTTAAATGTTAAATATTAGAAACAAGTGAGATGTATACTGTAAAGGAATTATCAACTAAATATTAGTAGCACCAACCAATGCAGCACTATGCAACTATTAATAAATAGGAATAATCTTAAGAACATGGAAAAATCGCAGTCGATGTCAACTGAGAACACAGGATCGGTTACACAGAAAGAGTTTAAACACAGAGTTCCCATCTTTGGAATTCGGAATTCAGAATTATATTTTCATCAACAAGCACATATTACTTTAATAATCAGAAATAATGAATACTAAACAGAACTAAAAATGAACTAAATCTTTCATTTTTTCCTACATTAGTGCTTCACATCTCTATTTCTAACCCATTCCAACACAGTTCTCATAGCCTGGAATTATCCACTCCACTTTCATTGTTCTAACAGATTCAAGAAAGCCTCTTTTTTCTCAAACCATGCTTGAGAGTTTTTTATCCTTGTATTCCCACTTCAGATTTCTAAAATATTAGAGAGATAATTTTTTTACTGCATAACTTTTCTAAACTTACTGTTATATTCTCCTTTTATCATCAAGGAAGCAAAAGGATCAAGATTTTATGCAAACAATCCCACAATTCACCATTCACTTCACCACTTCCTATAAAAATGTATTGCATTCAAAAACCATTTTCCATCGAAGATAAAGTTCCTTGTTAAAAATTTTCAATAAAAACAATATCAAGAGTGTGGTGATTGTTTCCCAGGTATTCATGTATATCAAAACTTACCGTATTATACAGTTTCAATGTGTGCAGTTTATTATGTCAATTTATACCCCAGTGAAGATGCTACATAAAACATAGTACCAAGAAAAGCCACACACTGAAATATGACTAAAATGCTGCGAGGCAGACACACACAAACACACGCAGAGAAAAAAACAAAAGAACCACTCGCTCCTTAAATGCATCGGCAATTTTATTTACAAACGCAGTGGAACAGAAAGGCTCACTAGTTTCTGGAGAGAACTCTTGGTGTACAAACTATAAGGATTTTTCATTCATGAAAAGCAGGAGCTTTCTAGTGGGAAAGGCTTAGTGACAATTCCGAAGAAAATAGAGCTCCCCTCATCAAGCAAATAAAATTTTATATAAGCTAATTTTTTCCAAATCCTAGTATATACTTGAAAAGAAAGATGCAGAAAGCAAATTTGGGGGTGCTTTCTAGTGAAATTTTCCATATGGTTCTGTATTAATTTACCATACATTATAAGAAACAGAGAGTATGCAATTATATATTTATATTAACAATTTCAAATAATGTTTCAGATCCTTTAAAAAATAAAATAAAATAACCCTCTTCCAAACACCACTAGAAAGTCAAACGAGATCATCAGCCTCTTTTTTTTCCCCTGTGCTTTTAAGATGCTGAACTCAGAAAAGTAAATACTGCACTTTTCCCCCACACATAATTACCTTCTTATAAATAAACAACAACAAAAATACAGGTTCTACCAAGACTACAGTGCTCCGATGTAATCTACAGAGACCAAAAAAAAAGGGGGGAGTTATTCTTTCTTTAAAAAGAGAGGGCAAAAAAGACATACAACATGTATTTATAGATCTACATCAGCAGCAACCAACTCTTCTTCTATCTGCAACAGTGCTTTCGCATGGAGGCTTACATCACATGGCGGTGGGCCGTCCAGCTGACCAGGCAAGGAGAGAAGAAAGAACAGTGCTTAGATTCAGAAATACTGGAATAACGCCCCTGGGGATGCATAGAGGTAATCACTCAGAGAATGGCCCCGTGAGGTAGAGAGAGCCACCTTGTCACTCACTTAGGATAAAGCTAGGCAAATCACAGCCTCTGGGGACTAAAAGTCTTTGTCTGCAAGTATGGAGTAAAAAATAACTGCTGATATAGAAGCAGGTTACACTCAACTCTCTTTTATCTGTTTTGGAGATAAGGCATGGGCAATTTTTCCATGACGATTCCAAAAATCAATTCTATTTGGCTTTGGAGTTTGATTGAAGACAGAAAAGCACACACACATATACACACTCCCCCCATTCTACTTCCAGCCTTGACACTCTCCAACCTCAGTGGCAGGGTCCAGAAAAGGACTGGACCGCTGGGGCAAGAAGACTCAGACCCCGCTGACAGATAAGAGAGAGTTGACTGGGCTTAAACCATTTCCAAAGCACTCTTCACATAAAGGGCCATATAAATACCTCTGGGTTCAAAAGCAAAGGGTTTTGCTGATACCACTTGTAACACCCTTTCACAGTAAGGAAGAAGCACATGTTATCAGCATCAAGGTTCAAAATATAAGCAGCAGCAATGGTTGTCTTTAGGTAGCTATAAACAATATGCAATCTAATTATGCTATCCTATGTTTCATAACACACAAACAAGAACATGATTAGACACAAAATAGCACGTGAAGTCTTCTAAAAACTCAATTTTCCAGAAATGACATGGAAATACCATTAGAACTAATGCTCTCCATTTTAAAATACTGCATGTATTGATATATGATTACATAGTAACAAAGCATAAACTGACTATTCTTTATGACCTTTTTATACCAGTTTTTAAAGGTGATCATACTTGAAATCTCATAATCAGAGCCCACTGTAAAATAATGGAAATCAGCTAACGATGAGGGAATGATCCTTAGCCAAGTAACAGATTACAGTCTACACCACAAGTTTATTTTAACTGTCTGTTTTGGTTTGTTCACATCCTCAGGTCCTTAGCAGTCTGTCCAGACTCTGAGCACAAGACACCATCCTGACTCTCGGGCGCACGTCCCGCTCCAGTTCCTCAACCCACAACACCCCCTCGCGTGGCTCGAACCCAAGCTGTGACCCATTCACCGGACCCTCCGGGTGGAACACACTCAGAATCCTAACACCTGGCCTGCTAAGGCAGGGAGCTTGAGGGGGAGGTGGTGGCAGGTTCAGGGAAATGCATGGGAACTCGTGGCTTTCTTAAGAGACTAGAAATTTTCTCCCTGATTTGCTCTCTTACATTTGAATCTGAGATAGCAGTTGTTGCAGTACAGTTGGTTGTTTCTGATTCTGACTTCGGCTCCTGAGGAAGAGCCTCCGAGGTCGCACTCACAGGCAGAACACTGGAGGGCAAAAAAAAAAAAAAATCCACAAACAGTGAGCTCAAGAAAGCTTGGGACCCTCCTAGAAAAGCAAAAGGATCAAAGTGCAGCTGCTAAGCTCTTAGATGCTTCAGGGGGGGAAAAAAAGCCAAAAGATCATTAGTAGATTAAAATCAAGGCTGCCAGATGAGACGTTAAAGGAATCATAAAGCCAATTTTAAGAGCCAAGATGATCATTCTCAACATACCACAGAGCAAAAATGATTCGCTGACCAGCTTAACAAAACCTCGCCTTCACTTCTCTCAGGGGAATGGGAGAGGATGAAGCGCCACATGGAAGAACTGGCAAAGCGAATGGACACTGTGTTTCCAGCACTCCACACTGCAGTAGGACACACCCAGGGTCTCCACTGCACCAGCGTGGCAGGTGCTCTCACATGGTGCTTTCACTCCAAGGCTGGGTATTTCAGTTCCGTGTGCTCAAACACTAATCATTTTGACTCACTCTGTTATACATAGGAACAGCCCAAGCCAGCAGTACACAAGCTTGAACAGGCTGTGGTCAGTGTGACTCCGGCATCCACAACCAAAATCACGCTTTGGCCCAACACAAGTTCAAGAATCAATTAGATGTGTCTCTAAGACAGTTACTACAAAGTAGTTACAGCCTTAGTTCTTTTGTATATGCAAGAACCCCATCAAGTATAAGCAGGCTTGCGACTGTAAAAATATTTACAATATTTTTCCTTACATAATCTCCCTATTCAGTGCTAGGCTCTTGGACACTTTCATAATTGCTCATCCCATCCCCATGCTGTTATTTGACATTAGCAAATTACATTTCACATATGCCTACGATTGATAGAGAAAGCGTTTACGCCCTGTGAATTGTACTAACAGAATCTCAACAGGCTGGAGATAGGAAGCGCATAGCATTTCTACATTTAATTTTTGAAATTAGGTTCAAGATGTGAGGACTACGTAAGTAGCAAGCAATTTGAAACTCAAAATGCAGCACAGACCCACAGATCCAGCAGCACCTAGCTCGTTAATGGCACGGCCACACCCAGCGCTCAAAGAAGCCATGCGCGCTCCAAGCAAAGCTGTGCGGGCCTGCAGAGGCTGTGCATCTTAGTCTCACCTTAAAACAATACAAATGATAACACAGACCCAGGGACTCGATGATCATGGCAGCTCCTTTGCCCAGAATGTTATTGCAGTAGGAGCACACGCGCTTCCCACTGACCGACCTAGATGTGGAACAAGAATGCAAGGGAGGCTTTCAACTGTGCGGCTCAAGGTCATTACTTTAAAATCACACGCAGGTGTTAACGTTAATAATTTAAGAAGGTCTCTGTATCTGTGGGAGGAAAAGTTTCACCAGCCAATCGAAATATGCCTCGATTATACTGTACCTTGAAGGGTCTCCCTGGTGGTTCTGAAACCCTGGACACCTGTTCACTAAATGAACAATTTCGGTGTCCTGGGTCCATTCTGCACTTTGAGAGGCTACGCTCCTTCGATCACCTCTGTGCTCGGCCGTGGTCTCCCCCTCTTCCAGAGCACAACTCTATCGTGTCATTTCACCCACCAGAACACCAACAGGGCAGCCCCAACATTACTTTCCCATCCTCTTGCTCATTCGCCCAACACCCAAATGAAACAGAGGTAGCAGCGCTCTCCTGACTGTGCTGCTGGCTTGCAGGACTGCCTCTGCAGAGGATGGAATGAAAATTGCCTGACAGCTCCCACTTAGATAGGTAAGGAGAGCCTCTACTTCCCTTTGGACAGAAGTCTTACCTTCTCTCCCAGGAGGGAAGGGCTAGGCCACTTCTCACCTTTGCGTCCCGCGGCATTAGCAGAGCCCTTCAGTGGCACAGAAAGTGCACAGCTGTGGCGCGCCTCGTGGTGGAGCGCCCCCTCCTGGGCAGAGGCCTTTTCTGGGCAGAGACGCCCACAGCCCGCCTCCCCCGTGTTCCCCTGGGGCGGGGCTCCCAGGAAATGGGGGCTCTATCGTCTGCTTCGCCTCCCCTGACCAAGGCCTTCATCCTCCTCCAAAATATACCGTGAATTCTCACCCTGTTGTCTCTTAATTCAAACTCCCTGACACACATTTTATAGATCCCAGTACAAGTAACATTTTAATGGATATGAAATATATTCTCTTAACAAAACTCCTTATTTGATGGCTAAAAAAAAATCCCATTATCGATCATTGTGTTTCTACTTTTCAGCACTTCCTTTGCAGAGAAGCAGTGCGGGCTGGCAGAACTCCCTTCGGGTAGCAGCAGAGACACGGCTGCGTGTGGCTTCGTGACGCATCAGCGGTCAGTGGAGAAGCCACACAGACCTAAACACCCAACCCACATTTCTGTCTGAGCATTCCTCCATGGACACGGACAACAGCGTGGCAATGGCTGGGGGTGGGGGGTGTAAGGGGACTAAAAGCTAATGGGAGAAAATACAATAAAAATTAAAATTTTAAAAAGGCAAGTTTGGAATCACAACCTACCATTATAGCTCTCACACGGTTCCCATGGCACATGACCTACAGAGCCAGCTGATGTGGTCTGAACACACGTGGGCAAGTCAGATGAGGGGCACCATGGTTTGGGAAATCAAAGTCCCCAAAGGCAGCATCTAACTACTTAACTTTATTTTTTCATCCAGCTTATTAAACAAACGTTCCACAGACAATGGAGCTTAGTCACAACACTTTCCTTTTACACTTAGTTTCTATAAAATGAGTTTGTATGGCCTTATTAAAACCGTCAGCCATTGTATAACACTGCTTTTACTCATAAATTTCAGATGCGTTTATAAGCTACTGTCTGCTTTTATGGTTCCGTGTTGAGAACCACTCGGGTACATCTGTCTCCAAGACACTGACCGCGGCCCCAGCAAATGAGGCAGTGGCAGCGAAGCTGGTGTTTTAAAGGTCCCCAACACTTCACAAGACATCCATAAATGCTCTTAGAACGCTATTAAAAAAGCCCCCTGAACTGATCTGATAAAAGAAAACTGAATTTGACGCACTCAAAAAGGCTTGGCTTTCTTTTGGAAAGCTTGGACAAGATCTGGAGAAAATTTTACAGAAAAAATACACCTGAAACTAAGAAAGGAAGACTGAAAGGACCTCACCTGTTGCGCAGCTGGGAGCCCGACGGTGCCCCTGAAGGGACCTGGCTGCGCGGCGTGGGGGAAGGTGCCGTGGCGGCCTTCACAGGGCCAGCTGAAGGAGCGGGGACGCCGGAGGACGGGGTTCGCATGTAGGCACGGTTGGACGTGGACAGCAGCTGAGGCGGCGGGCGGCTGAAGTCTTGGACAGAGGAGGACGCGTGGACGCCTGCAGACTGGTTGAGCCAAGGGGCCTGCCTCCAGGAGCTGGATCGGGGGGCCTCCAGGTTATCTAGAGATTCACCTCTGAAACACAGAAAGAGTGAATCAAAACTATAGAACACATTCGCCTAGAAATCTATTTAACATTGCGGTCATTAAAATATTAATTTTATGTGTTTTATAAGCAGGTATTAATCTGACAAGTCCAACTGCAATATAAAACTGCCTTTAAAACTAAGGTTTCTTTTTATCAGAGGTATCATGATGTTTCATATTCAATTAACCTTCACTTATTTTTATTTTTATTTACTTGGTGTTTGTGTAAAAGACTAAACACCATGGAAAGGATAATACTAAAAAAATATTTTTAAAATAAAATGTTAAGACAAAGACCACAAACATGGGTCCTTTATATCTTTAACTGTTTAGACATAACAATCTTCATTTTTAAACCCTACCCCACCCCCCCAAAAACCTCCACATCCTTTCAGGCATTTATATATGCCAGGGACTAGACTAACCACTATCACAAAAACATTGAATTTGATCTTCACAATACTTTGTTTGTTTGTTTATTTATTTACCTTTTAGATCTGACAGACCTCAACTCATCTGTGGTAAAGAAGAGCCTGTCGGTCGTGGGACCGGCTTTCAAACCCAGGTGTCTGGATTCCAGAGTAACCCAGGTCATTTCTACTGTGTCGGCCTCATCCACTTACCACCAAAAACTCACGCAAACGCTACTTTTGGGACATCCCTCTTAAATGCAGTTATGTGCTTACATAAACTCTGATCCACAGAGAATGACTGCAAATTAGGAAGGTATTTTTCTACCTGGTTAATTTTGTCATAACTTTTAAAACTTTGTCTGTTATTCCAAAATTTGAAATAGGTCTGTTTTTCTTTTGCCATCATATACATCCTACATCACCATGGTGAGACAGACACAGGCAGTAGACAGGGTGTCTGAAGGAGGAATTAGGTTCTCCTCTCTATTACTCACCACGAGGTACCCGCCCTGGTCTCAGAAGTAACCATTATTAACTGTATCCTTCTAGACTTTTTCTCACATGTGTGCACATATGTACATATACATACAAACTTACATATGTAAGTATAGCAATGTCTATATACATTTGTGGCATACATGCTGTGTTTAACGTGGGTAAGCAAATAGGATCAGTCTACAATGCATATTGTTCACAACTTGCTCTATTCCATGTACTATACATGATCTTAGAACTATCTTCAGGGCTTAGCCTCTTTGAATCCAGGTGCTGTGCAAGAGGCAGCCCCAGCAGCTACGTGGTGAGGCCCGTATGCAGAACAGGCTCCAACCAGCAGCTCCAGCTGAGCTCTCAGTCCAGCTTTTACACGCGGGGTCAGCAAATTACAGCCCACTGCCAGCATAGGTGCCGTATCATTCATGGGTGATGGGTATTTTATATTTCCAGTCATAAAACAACCACAACAAAGAAAATCTGACAGAGACTTATTATGTGGCCAGCAAAGTAAATTATTTACTATCTGTTCCTTCATACAAAAAAAATTAGCAGCCCTGGCTCTGGGTAACTACAGCCACCCCGTGACCCAAGCAGCACCCTGTCGATCCTCAGAACCAGAGGATATGATCAATCACATTTCACCCCGCACAGTTTCAAGGCAGTGCATTATGGAGGAATATGCCACTCCCAATTCTTTAACAGTCGTGTCATATTCCACCTTATTAGTGCGCCCCTATTTATTTAGTGAGTACTAGGGACACTCTTATCAGGGTATATGCTTTTCTTTAATTGAAAATTTAATAATATTTAAGTGTATATTCTTGGACATAGTTTTGCCTACTTAACCAGATACACCCAGAGAATAAAGTGCCACCCACGAAACTGCTCACGGGGTACAAACAGAAACTTCTTGTAAGCACTGGGAAAATATCCACCCAACTGGGAAAAAGAATTCCTGTTTCTTTATACAATTGTCAACAACAGACTGAGTCGCTCATTTAACTCGCTGCAAATCCCGTAAGCGAGCTACACCACTGCTGTTTCACAGGTAGTGTTCATCTTCCATATGTTTAATGACTTCATTTCTTTCTCTATGGAGAGAAATCTGTTCGTATCCGCTGTCTGTGTCTACAAAGTTGTCAGGGTTTATTTACTCGTTTACAAAAGTTAGTTGTACGTTGGGATAATTGGCCCTTTACCTGTAATGTGTTGGACATAATTTTTCTTAAGTTTCTCAGCTGTGGAAACACTGCATAAAAGTAGCTTCCAAATGTGTTTACCCAAGACACATCTTTTTAAATGTTCATTCTCTCATCTCCAATTAATTTAGACCTATATTACTTTTCAGAAAGTTAAAAAATTAGCTTTTCACACTTTGGGGACACCATCATGATTCCAATCTCACCATTATCTCGGTTATAAACAAACAAATAGAGGCTTAATTTTTAAGTTCAGCAGCCAAGGACGCACCCAGGACTGCACGAGTTACTGAAGTGCCGGAAACGTTCTTCCGAGTCCGTACACCCAGCTCTGCAAACTATTAGCCATTGGCTTTGTCCGCAAATGTTCTCTGCTTGAGCCCCAGTTTCCCCACGTGGGAACAGAAAGATGGTCCCTGCCTCACTACATTTTCCCCCAGGTTAAGTCAGATGACAGAGACAAAGCAACTGACACGTGTCTGCTGGCTAGTAAGTGTCCACGGCATTGACTCTACTTCCCCTTCCTTCTCCTGATGGCGGACGCAGAGAAGTCATGACAGCATTTCTACCCCAAGGAGCCGGCACGTCTGTAAATTAAATATTTGCCCCACAGCATGGAAGAGGAAATCATTCCCGAAATGTCTCGCACCTCCTCATGATCCCAGGCAGACAGATGGGCTCCTTATTGACGCTGGAACTGCGCTGCCGGATCCAGCTGTTGTCGTTGTGCAGGGACGTCCGCTTCCTCATTTCCTGGAGGATCTGCTGCCTCTCCAGCTCTGCCTCCGACGGGACTGGCTCCTTCTTGGAGCTCCTCTGTAGTGAGCTGCTGCCCCCGACTCGGTCTAAATATTTAGTGCTTCCTAGATGAAAAACACATCAAAAGCTGCAGGGTTAGCACATATCAAAAAGGATAATGGATAAACCTCCAAATATAATGTAGCAAAAAATGTGACATCGGACAGGTATGCTAACATCGTCAATGCTCAGTGAGACCGCTGCCTGGGAACTGGAAGTGAACAGTCTCCTCTTCCTGGAAATTCCAGTTCCACACCCAGAGGCACATCACGCAGCGGGCCCAGGAAAACTAAGGAGGCTGCCTAAAAAGCTAAGAGCCGGCAGTGATTTCAGCAATATTAAGTCACACAATGCTTATGCAGAAAGCTTCTCATCCGCTTTTCCCTTCCTTCCTACATTCTGTCCAACAAGCCCATGCTCATTGAATGCTTGCTGAGACGACTCCGCAGGGAACTGGGAGTTCCACTCTTCCAAAAAACGCACACTTCCCCTGGGGAGACAGCGAAGACAAATGCAGGCATCTCCAGGTGTCACGACTCAAGTCTCCATGGTGTAAGTCATAGAATTTCAGTCATGACCAGGTTGAACAAATAAGGGCATACTCAATCACTGAAATGGCCTTTGTGAAGCTGAAAAATAGCCAAGTAATCCCAATGATAACCAAGGAATGCTATGAGACTTGTTTTTCCCTCTAAGAAACTGGCAAAGCCATAATTTGGATGTTGAATTTATGAATGAAAATTAAGTCAGGGTCTATCCTGAAGGCTCTGTCTCATTGGATTTGCCGATTAATTTCTGACTTGGGTAAAACATCTGAAACTTTGCAGTGTCCTCCCCACCTCAGCTTGGATTAGGAAATTTGACATAAGGGTTTCTTTTCTCTCACTCTCCAGGTTCAATGTTACTTCATACTCTCAGAATGTAGTGTTTCTGCCTCAGTTCTTCTTCAAGTGAGCCATGGAGGAGGCCACCAAGGGTTCCTTACACACGTCCTTGTTTATATTTGTGTGTACGCACTGCTTGTCGATTTGGTCAGATTTAAATAAAACATGTTCTATTTTAAAAGCATCTTATTGGCATAACCAAGTTTTTCAATAAAATATTTGATAACTTCCACTGCTTGCCATTCTAACCAGATTAATAACACGAGTCCCTAATATTAACGAGACTATTTCAGAGAATCGCCCTCACCATTACTAAATAACTGGTCACGTGTTTAGGTTCAGGAGAGAATATGACCAATGCAGGTTAAAAAAGTTTCATGGCAGATTGAAATACTAAAGGCCTTCATTTCAATGGTGGTTAGTGGCAAACCAAGGGGAACAGAAACCAGAAATCCAAATAGGTAAGACCAGAGGAACGAGATCAGAAAGCATCTGATGATTGGGAACTGAGAGAGAGAGCAGTTTGGTCACAGAGCTCCTAATGGGAAAAACAGCAGCACAGGCTGGGAAGCTAAATGAGGAGCAGATAATGAGAGGGAAGGGGGTGATCACAGCGCCTAATAAAAACTGTAAATTTTACAAGCCTTAACAAGAAGTGACAAACTAGCTTCCGACCTGTTGATGTGGTTTGGCTCACAGAGGGTTTTAAATTTTTATAAATTCTTTGTCAGTACTTAAAAGATAATGTGAAAATCCAGGTCTTTTGTTTCACTTCTCTTTTATAGTAGAGACGGTTGGTAATCCCAGGCTTGCATTCTCCCACATGCCAGGAACAGGCTGGAGCTGGGAAGGGGCAGTCCACTTGGATGGGCGTGCTCAACACGTGCACCCCAGTCTTCCCTGGACCTCCACTCATTTTCGTAACCTGCTAACACCCAGGCTATGCAAAGCCCGGTATGCAAACGTTGCTTAAAATCATGCTTCTTGTTTAGCTTTGTTTTTCTTAGTTATGTACGTTATATTACATTAGTTATATGTGTTCCTAGAAGTGTACTTTATACTAACAATGTCTGGTTACAAACTGTTTTTACCAAGTTAGTGAAACCATTTTCATTTTCGACCTTTTGACATCTTGTCATTTAAATGTATAGTTTCGACTTTACACACAATTTTGAAGTCCTCTAGTATTGTGCAGAAAATTTTTTCCTCTCCCATTTCTTTGGCTGCAAGATGAAATCTACTATACAGAAGTGTATCATCGGCAGCACTTTGCAAAATTTCCACATATTTCATTAGCTATTTTAAACCATTTTCATCTGCCAGCACTCCCTCCCTTATAAAGTAAAGCCAAAATAAGCAAAGGATAGTTTTGTTTTTAAACACAAATGCTAAAAATATGCAGTATTTTAATAATGTAATATTAATGAACCTGAAACATCTTGACCTTAAATATACTGATCATAGCATGTGATAGCATAAATAAGCAATTTTGAAAAAAATTCACATTTACCATTTTTATTTGGAGGGTGACCATCCAGCTCAGTAGTGGATATGGATTTATTCCTACAACACAGAACACAGGATATTACATACGTCTCACTAAGAACATCCTTTTCATATTTATGATGGGCACCAAAAACATTACTTTTTTAAAGAAGCTAATTTATTTCCTGTGTCTGTTGAGAGCCATACTTATTTTCACACGAAGGAATTTTTCATGTTGCACAAACTAGCTGAAAACAGTGACATCTCTAAAAGAGAGAAGAGCTTGATGCTAGAAATATATCAACGAGAAAATCTTCCCCATCTTGCATGATGATCAAGCCTATGATTTGACCCAGTCATACCAACTCTGCCTCTCTTCCAGATCTCAAACTTGCCAGAATGTACAAAGCATCTGTCATAAGGTCACCTAACACCAAACTGTCCCACCTGATTCGTGCTGCCTGAGGCTCAAGAAGGCAACTTTTGGGGCATCAGGGTACCACTCTGAAAGAGCAGCTTACCCAAATGCTCCCTAGCATCCCAAAGAGGCACCGGAGTGCGCTGGCACAGGCAAGTCCTGAAAACCCCTGACCTTTTGAGGGTAAAATACAGCTCTGCACAGCAACACGCGCTGACCTCATTCTCATTCTAGTGGGCGCAGGAACTTCAAATAACAGGAGTGAAAATGAGTGGAATACATTTCCACATATATGTATAGATGTATCACCTGTATATGCATACAACATATATGTATATGCATACATTTAATACTGTGTAATACATAATAATAATAATGTAATACCTGTTAGCAACATTCACAAATGGTTTCTTTTGCATTAACATAGAAGAAAATATTGTTATAACAAGATGTTCAGCCACACTCCTCAATTCCTCTAGAACAGGGGTGTCAAACTCATTTTCACCAAGAGCCCCATCAGCCTCAAGGTTGCCACTAAAGGGCCGAAATAATTTTAGGACTGTATAAATGCAACTACTCCCTACCTGTTAAGGAGTTGAAATTACATTCAGCCCTTTGAAGGCAACCACAAGGCTGATGTGGCCCCTGGTGAACATGAGTTTGACAGCCCTGCTCTAGAGCATGCTGTATCACAAATGCCTAGAAGTATTTCATACTTTCCAGAATTCCTTACATTTCTTTTCTCTGTGAATTTTTTTCTCAAGGCAATGAGCTATATAATCAAAACTTATTTAAATGTACAAATAAATCCATAGCTTAAAAAAGGAGAGATACACATTTTCATAGTCTACAGGTACCCAGAAACACTCATTATAAACAAGGCCATTCACCACCAGAAAATTTCTCTAGCTTGATTAACACCAGCCCACCGTTACCTGTGTACTCCTTTTCCCTATCTGCTCTGAGCCCTGCTCAGTCACCCCAAATGCTTATACAGGTGAGTCTGCCCTTATCTGGAAGGCACACTTCCTAAAGAAGAAATTTTAGCTCTGAAAACACAAATTAGTGATCATACATGGAATATTTTTAATCTATTTAGAAGTCCCGAGTAATTTCAAAAGCAGAAGGCATTTTTTAAAATTACTTAAGAACATTAAATTTAATGTTTTAGGAAATTTTAAGATGTATCTAGAACTTTCCAGGTATCTGAAATCCTTTCTGCATTCCCCCAAACTGACCAGCAGTTCTAATCAAAGAGAAAGTCACGGATTCTCATTTCAGATGTCCATGGTAAGCTTACGCCATGGCTTATCAGCTCTTTAAAAGAAATGTTAAAGTAGATGCCTCCTCCCTTTAATTCCCTCTCTTTTCTCTCCCCAGCCACCACGAAGGTAAGACTGCTCTGGTGTGCTGCGTGCTGAAGACCCACAGACCGTCGGCTCTCACTGCCCCAGCCGGCAGCCAGCCTACTCACACGAGTTTACCCAGTGAACTGGTAGTAGACGCATGACAAACCAGTCAACTAAAAGAAAGGCCAGCTGAATGCCGCCCAAAATGCTGACCCACAAAATCATCAATGAAGTTACTACGTTGAGGGATAGTTTTAAATATCAACCAGCAAGATCTCTTTTTATCACATAAAAGATTGAGAGCCACAGGAGTTCTAAAAGACACATGGGCAAGCCCTCAAAAATTGGTTTGAAGCCAATTACTCCAACCAAATTACAATGAAATGTTCTACACACCTGTCACTAGGAAGCAAACCTGAAGGTTCTTCCTCTCCCTTTGGTGTATCGTAGGAATCAACAGGCCTAAAAGATAGAAAAAGTTTACATCAAATTAGAGACTTTGATGTTTTCCTTGAGTTTAAGATACAGATTTTTAAAGTGATGCTATTCTAGTATCTTTACAAGAATGGTCTCTTGGTTGAAAACCAAACATCCAGAAATATTTCGATCAATCAATCACTGCAGAAAACAGACCTTCTACTACTATTAACAGACATTTACAATTCATTCCACAAACACATGCCGTATGCCTGCTATGATCCGGGAGTGTTCTAGGGAAACAAAACAAACTTATTGGCCTCGTAAAACTTACATTTCAGAGGGGCATGCAGGCCAGCCCACAAGCAACAGAATGCATAACACAAAGCAGGGAAGGGCGCATGGAGAGAAGGGGTGGGGGAAGAGGAGGTCTTTCAGATGAGGTACTCTGGAAAGTCTGAGAAGGTAACATTTGATCAGAGACTTAAAATGAGTAAGACAACAAATACATGACGGAACATTTCCCTAGGCACAGGACCCAGAAAATGCAAAAAACCCAGGGGCAGAATATGGTGTGCCTTTTCAAAAAAGAAAAAAACAGGACTGTGCAGCTATAATAAACCAAGTGAGGGGAAGTCGTAGGAAGCCAGGTAAACCAAAGGGCCAAGACTGTTCATACACGCCTTGTAAAGCCACAGGGAGGACTTTTGATGGTATCCTAATGTGAGGGGAAGCCAGGAGACCCTGAGCCCGAAAGTGAGGTGACAGAATCATGTTTACAATGTAAAGGGTTCACTCTGGCTGCTTGTGTCCACCTGTGTAGAGAAAGGAGGCTGGGGAGCAGGAAAACCAAGTAGGTGCCCTTGAAGTGGGGAATGGATACGGCAATGCCACACCGATTGAAAAGCCACGTGTGCCCTTTGGTAAGGGAACAGACCTTCTGTACTGGTATATTTTGACCGACGTTTCCCTCTCTCTCTCCGCCTGGCGCAGCTGTTCCTCCACACGGCGCTTCTGCTCCTCGGCCTCTGCCTGACGCCGCTTCTGCTCCTGCTCTTCCTGGTACTGCCGCTCCTTCAGCTCTCGCTCCCTCTCCAGAGCCAGTTGTTCCTGCAGCTTCTTTCTTTGGTCCTCTTCCTCTTGCCACTGTCGCCTCTCCTCTTGTCCTGTTTGGGTTCCTTCCCTGTCGGGAGACTTGGACCCTTCACTCCAGGTGGCTTCCAAGGTGGCCGCGGCAGGCTCCCGTGGGGTCAGAGAAATGCTGTTTGAGTTCAGCACCATGAGCTCCTACGTGACCAGGAAAAAAAGAAAATTGTGCATTTCTATAATTTCATCACAATATGTCTACGTGCAGTTTTAGATGATACTTATTGTAGAAGACGCTATTTGAAATGATGTTAAGTTTTATCACTGACAGAGACACGTGTGGGTAATGGAGATGTAACTTAGAAGATGACTTAGGATCTGTTGATACAATAACTTAATTACTCAGTAGAGAAACTAGGAGAAATACTGAAACATCAAAGCAAAATTCTGACAAATCAGAGCTCATTGTGTTTTCCAAAGAGCCCCAGAGGTGACTGTGACAAAAGCAAGTGAAGTGCACAGTCTTCCTTTTTTCAGCTGATCTCACCGACGAGACAGGGAAGGAAGAACAGGTTCCAGCACTACCTCATTCAAGAACTTGTAATTCTCTCTCTCAGCCTCCTGCTTAGCCCTTTGCCACTCTTCCCTTAGTTTCTCCTGCTCACGCTGATATTTTTCCTAGAAGAAATGATAGCACGTTAATTAGTTAATTAATTACTAGGTTGGTGTTCATCTTTTTTCATCAGCATTTTTGCTAGCCCCACCTTTCACCTCAACCTTTGGAGACAGAGATATTTTAACCAATCAGATTTTAGTCCCCAGAGTAGAAAACAACTTATATGGAATTAAAATCCAGGCACTGGGAAAGGGTAGACACTCAGGACTGAACGCAAAAGCACCCTTTACCGTGCTATAATTCAGTGAGGGCCCTAAAGCTACCTGTGAGGGAGACTGAACTCCTCTGCAACAGACTGAGTACGGAGTTCACGGGGCAGTGAGCTCTCACCAAGCCTATAGAGCACCTCACGCTCTTAAGAAAATCTTGTGTTCACTGCAGCACTGTACACAATGGCCAAGACCTGGAAACAACGTGAACATCCACGGACAGATGAGTGGATAAAGATGACACTGGACACATATGTGATAAAGTACTACTCGGCCATAAGAAAGGATAAAATACTGCATTTGCAACAATTTGGATCATTCTCGAGAGTATCGTGCTACGTGAAATAAGTTGGAAAGGAAAGGATGAGAACTGTATGATTTCACTCACGTGGGGGATATAAAACAGAAAACAACAAGCAAAAGAAACAAACAAGCTCACGGACCGAGACGAGAGCATGGTGGTGACCTAGTGGTGACCGGAGGGGACGGGGTGGGGAGAGGAGGGAGAGAGGAAGGGGCTCAGGTGTGTGGTGACTGAGGAGCACACACAATGCAACACGCCGATGCCGCATCCCAGAACTGCACCCGTGAACCCTACAAAATGCTATTAACCCAGGTTGCCCCAACAAACTGACTTAAAAACATAGTACATATGCTCTAAAAATATACACATGGGCTAATAAATGATTTTAAAAGGAGGATTCTGGAAAGCTTCTAAATAGATAGGTAAATTGCCTTTGTATTTTAATAGACAATTATTTTTAATACAAAAAATAATAATTCTGTTGGTTAATACAACATGCACTACCTATCAAAGGATTTGTTAAGTATGAGGTTACTGGGTTTTTAAACTTCTTTTTAAGTTTGCTTCTCAATACCAGCTCACACCGAGCAGGGAAGGGCGGTTAGGACAGGCCCACTTCCCCACGCTCCGCAGTATTCAGCACTACCTGCAGCAAGCGGTCCTGCTCCTTCTGCCACCGCTCCTGCCGCTTCCGCTCCTCCTCTTGGTCCCACGCCCAGCGACTGGGGGCACTGATGGTTGGAACTGGGAGCTAACCAGTAATGAAAGAAGAGGTGCAAACAAAGAGCATGTTACTTTATTAAGTCATTTATGGAAGCACATTTGCACACATAAATTATTCGTATCACCCTTTGCCTAAACAAAGGACAGCTTTCAAAATAGGTCTTTTCAATTTGAAAAGACTGGATGGCCTTATTTATTCCAAAAACAAGTGAATGCTACTTACATCAGGAACCACAGAATCAGAGCTTCCTGTATGGACAGCATGTGGGCAAGGAAGAAAAAAAATACAGCATAAGTCTTTTCATTTCTATAGAATAATTTCTTTCAGAAAGTTGTATCACTAGCTGTTTCTATGCCAGTATACTAAGTGACATCATTCTTTTTAAACAACAGGAGTAAGTCCTTTATTCCTCTTTAATTCCATCTGTTTGTTATTTATCTTCCAAATTCAAAGTGAGTTAACAAGAAAAGAAAAAAGGGATGCCAAAGAGTACACCCAAGTTCTGGGTGCTAGCACTGGACCAATGGTGCACTTCTGAATAGGTAGAGGGTTCTTTCCTTAACAGACTACATAGCATCTTACAGGTTGGCCTACTTAAAAAAAAAGAAGAATTTCAAATGTTACAACATCTACCAAATCCAATTTTTCACTTGCCACTATTCAATCACAATGTGAGAACTGTAACTTAATTTTTCAGGTCCTGTTAATGAGCTACTTTTCTTGAATAAGCCATGACATCAACCATGTTCAAGAAATGTTTCCTTTTCCTCTCCTGTTATTGGAAACATCAATATTCAAACTTCCTATGTATGACAGCGTTATTCTTTTTTTTTTCCACAGTGTTATTCTTTGGACATGATGTTATTTTGGGTCTTGGGGGTCTATATAAGGATGTCTGTCTATAGTACAATGAATACAAACAAGTGAGCAGATGTCATAAAATACACTACCATGCAGTATTTTTAAGTTTTCTTGAAACCTCAGCTATCAAATAAATTATTCACTTAAACATTACATTTTTAAGAAAACTGCTTTGAGACTTAGGAAAATATTCTTCCCTAAAATAGCATGTGAAGAAAAGTGAGTAAAAATTAGAATAGAGAAAGAAAAGGCATTGTTTTATTTTAGCCAATTTGACCTAGGAGTATCATACTCTATCAATTACATTACTGTGGGTAAACAGACATTTGACAAAAAAAAATATCAAAAACACTAAGGATACTGACACAAATAGACCTTGCACATGCAGAGCTGGTGAACTATTTCTAGTTATGATCAAGAGACTGTAATTCACTGAAGGAAGACTACTAGAAGATTAACACAAAATATAAAAGTCCAGTAAACATCATGTTATAAGGCAACTTGGTAAATAAATGTTTGAGAATCTTAAAAGTAAGAAACAAGAACATTTTCGATACCAACAGCACACTCCCCACTGACTGTGCCATTGCATCTCAAATGTTTGGGTGTTACTTTTAAGTTCCTGACAGTGAAACACAGAGCTCAAACTGCATTCACTAGACAGAGCCCGAGGCAGCCGTGAAAGGGAAGGAAGAAAACGCCAGCCACATGCACAGCACGTCATAAGGGAGCATTGCCAACTACACCAACACAGAGCATCTCGAAATTCACTTGTTCACAGAGTCACCAAAATTCATTTACTTTTAATACACTTCAGAGTCGACAGAGCAGGCCTTTTAACACTCAAAAGCCGCCATCCCAATAGCAATAAGCAACTTTACTTTTTTAGTAGGAGCATTTTCCAGAACCAAAAGGAAAGGCCTTTAAGAAGTTAGCCAATGACATGTTGGTGTAATCTGATATTATGCATCTGTAGGAAGCAGTAAGGCTTAAATGAAGTGTCTCATTTCTTACTGTCACCCAGTGGAAAGAAGTGTGTGTTTAATAGCATCTCAATTTTTTTAATTAAAAAAGAAAAAGAAACTTCAGAGGTACACGCAGAGACCCATTACCACAGAGGTAGACCCATGAGCTGTAAGAAAAGCCTGGCGACCCTAGGGAAAGAATGGAAATGGGTTATGTTGCTTGGTCATAGTGCCAGCCAGACTGCAGTGGCTCAGTGCCCGGCACCAGGCTATCAGGAAGGAGTGGAGGTGGGAACAATTCCAAGAAAATGCATGAATTGTTACTTGGTGGTTTACCTTGTTCAAAAAATTGTGATCGCCTTTTTAAGTTTTTCAAAGAAATAGGTTCAGATGCTAGTTGAAAAATAAAAAAAAAAAACATATCAATAAGATGTCATTCACTTTAATTTCTTACCACTGGAACACTAAATGATACTCGATCTATCTTTCTAATCTGTAGCTATATTATTTTTTGATAATAAAAATGACAAAACTGATAACCATAGAATATATATGTATTATTTCAATGCACAAAGACACACATTTTTAGTAGTCTATACTATATTCAAATTAGTAAAACAACTAATATTTTGATTAATAAGTTTTAGCATATAAGCAGTCTAATTTCACAAAAGCCAAAGCACCATCTTCCATGCTAGGTCACACAGCTTTAGGAAAATGGAAAATAATTATTTTTGCTTAGGTCAATCAAATATCTCTTATAGCGCAAGAAAAATTATTTATAACTAAGAATTTTCACAACACAGATGAGTAAAAAAGAAACTGAGAAATAATGGGGAGGAAGAAAAGAAAAGAAATCATACCCAGAGAAAGAGAAAATAAAAACAAATGCTAATATTAAAATACTCTTCTAACTAGAATATTTTGCCCTTGTTTTCAGGATCTGACAGCCACTGATTTTAAAGGAAACAAATGGAGTCCTGTCAGATAAGAAAGAAAAAGAAAACATTCTGACTTCTATGGATCTGTTCTAAGATATGGCAAAGATTATCATACTCCAATTTACATAAAATCTAAATGCAATTATTACTTGACACTGGCTGTTATTTGCTCATTAAAAAAAACCCTCCAATGAGGGAACCTGTGTCGTCCCATGTCACTCATGAGTTAAGGGTTTTATCAGCTTGCTCTGCCCGAGTCACTGGCAGAATAGGACCCGGACACCTTAGATTTAACATCATAAAGACAAGTTAAGTCATGTTTTCAAAAACTCCTTAAACAATGCAAGACCAAACAAAATAGAGGCACTTCTGACAATTCTGAAATTAAATACAAAGATAAACAACAATCAATAAGGAGAGGGAAATTTATAACTTTACTTTGGCTTTGACATCATGTATTACGAACTGGCAAAGGCAGATTCAAAGCCACCAACTGCTGTAAAACCCCATTTCTAGCAGTCTAGTTTCATAGTTACAGAAGTTTCATTTTCTTTGGGTCTCTTTTCCTGCCCACGTGGCCCAGATCTTTATTTATTTTGTATGCCTAAGGAATAGCACACAGCATGTGGTAGCTAAATTATTTATAGACCAACAGAAGGAGGAAGGGAATGATAACTCCACAGAGCAAAATTATCCTAGATACTACGCTTGCTTTTTTATTATAAATGGGTACTTTTGCTAACAACTGTTATGGCCGTTGGCACCTCCCTATTTTTACTAGCTACCTCCTCGATCGTCCCTTTCACAATAATAAAGGGAGAAAGGAAACTTCATTCATCATTTTGTATTTGACTAAGATTCCCTTTGGCAGCACACCAGACCAAGAAGGCTGATGGCCTTGGGAAACCAGTCTTTCTTAGTTGGCTCAGACACACAGGCACTCAAAGCTCCTGGACAGGCTGCCGAAGCTTTGTTTGCGGTGCTTGAACTGTTGAAGACCGGAACTGAGCGCCCTTCCACCGGGCTGCAATCCGATCTGGGTGCTAACCTTTTAGTTTCGGCCTGCAGTGGATCAGTTCTTCTTTCACTCACAGATATTAATTTTTATGTTAACAGAACTTGGGTGCTATGACTTTTCTGATACTAGAAATTTAAGGGATAATGGTGACGTTTACCTTGTACTTCAAAAGTATTGCTTTCCTCACGAATTCCATTGATTTCCTTGGACTCAGTATTCTGGAAAGAATAAAAATGCAAGTTAACAACATACTCTCCAATTGGACTTCAGGCTTAAATAATGCATTTCCCGTTAATGAAAGTATCTTTTAGTAAGATGAGTTACTGAGGATATTAATGTATTTCTTACAGCCTTTTACATATGATACTTTTTTCATTATTCTTTAAAATTTGTAGAAGGATTAATGACCAGCTGCAAGCATGGTTGGCTTTAAGTTCAATCAGTCATTAGTTTGCTAAGAAACACGATGGGTCAAATAATGATTAGTCCTCTTGGCTTATATTTATGAGTAAAGCAGCATAGTTATATAGGATTCTCTAACATTTATTCTTATCTTACACAATGTAGCAGGATCTCCTTATCAGATAAAAGGAGTATCTTAGGACAATAACAATACATATCTATGGAGTCAACATAAACACTTCTTCGAAAATTTTAATATTGCTTTGACTTAGAAAAATTTATACATTATAATTATTTTAATCAATTAATGTAACTGAGTATATTTTAATCACACATAAAAGCTTACCCACCAAGTTCACCTACACAGGACTAAAAGTGCTTCATGCAGTTTCACATTGCACACAATTACTACACTTACTTTACCAGTAAAGATGAAAGAAAGCATAGAAACGGCATAGTGCATGATTTTACATAATTACTACTTCCCCTTCGCAAAGACCTGAGAGATGCGCATAGTGATGAAGGACTGGTAAGAAACCACCGCAAAGCCCCAGGATGGGGGTCTTTTGCTTTTACCATTACATAACTCAGTACCACTCTAGTTATTAATGAGTAATGCTTATGATTTTAAAAAAGCACATTTTACTCTCATTACTAGAAATTATCTTATTTAATTATTTGTTCCTAAGGTAGCATCGGAATTGGTCAAACGAAGTAAGTTCTTCTCCCACACACACTTTCTACAGTTGCTTCACTCTAAACAGATGTTCCCACTCCCCACAATACTTACAGAATTCTGAAGGCTTTCTGAGAAGTCGGTTGTGACTGACAGATTTGAAGATCGGTCTGAGTTGTAAATTCCAGAGGTCGCATCAATCCACTTTGTTTCAGGCGAACCTATAATTTTGGTAGCCATACTGGTGAGATTGAGGGTTTTATGCCGTGTGAATGGCAGGGAAGGCTGGTCTTTGCCCCAATCTGATTGGTACATGAAGATGAAGAAATGAGTACACATAAATGTTGAGGTGGAAAGAACAAAGTTACTGAATGCACATATACAAAAAAACACATACACAGGACAGACGAACAAATCTGGTTGTTTGTGAAAGAAATGAAAAGTTCAAGGCTTTTACCAAGAGAGCACCTTCTGAAAGCACAAGGGTTAGATCGTGTTAATAATGGAAAGACTAGCAAATTTGCTGAAAATTTCTGTAAACCGGGACTGGATATAATTTTTCAATATCAGAAATCGGTAGGTCTGGGGAGGTATAATGCCTATCCCCATATCATTCCATAACTGAGAAACACAATAATGGAATGTATTTTGAAAGTTTCTTGAGAAGGAATAATAGGAATGTGACCTACTCTATTCTCCTTCATACACATCACGGTCATGTTGCTGCCCAGAAAGTCCAATCACAGTGCAATTCTTAACACTCAACGTTACTATGTGACTCCCTAATGCAGACACAATTATAAGAGCCTTCAAAAGAAAATGACAGATGCATCTGAAAAAATGAAAAACAATAGTCTTCAGTTGATATGTGCATTCAAAGCCAGTCCAGCATACAAATCAGTTCATAAATAATGTAGAATTCAGTAAATTTGCTAGTGAAAAGTTTCAGACAGAATACTCCAGGAAGTATCACTGATGATTTGTCTCAACACAACCAAAAAATATCTTTGAGCAAAAAATAAAAAAAGTAAAAAGAGAAGAAAACAGTGTTATTGAAGCAAGCTGTTATAACCACTTGCCAAAGACCAGCTCCCAATTTAAAAAAGCCAGATATGGGGATCACGCCAACCCACCAGACTTTCCATAGCGCCTGATATCCATCACTAGGTGTCCGGTTTCTTGAGCATTAGCCATGGTGTCTTCCCACTCTTTTTCGTCCTTATATGAAAACTTGGTGCTGTTGACGGCAATAATTTCATCATCTACCTGTAGCTGAGAAAATTCTGCTGGGCTACCTAAACAAAGCAAAATAAACAACCAAGTTAGACACAAACCGGTTCTATAGTCATTACCTATTTAAATTAAGGGAAAATGATTTCTTCATCTTGACTAACCAATTCTCATCATTTTTCAGGTAGAAGAGAGTCACAGAATGTCTTAGTTATCAAACCTCGCAGTACCAACAATACACAAAGCGCCAGAGGAATTTTTTATTCTATAATATAGATCATCATCAACATTTAAAGAACAAATAAGTTCAACTGTTCAAAATAAATTTCTTTTACTAACCTCTGAAAGAAAATTTTTAATTATTTTTAAATTTAAATGTGTGAAGTAAATTGCATTTTAGCACAGCTTCTAAATTCAAATGCATTCTGGAATAGGGACAGATACAGGGCCACTTAAAACTGTTTAAAAGGACTACTTACCGTTACCTCATTACAGAAGTCTTGACATTTCAAAGATGCAGCCAGTTAGCATATAATTTCAAGTAGCTAAAATATGTAAATAAGGAACTCCTCTCAACTACCACAGCTTTCTTTTTAATAATAGGTGTTGTGGTAATATTTTGCTAAGAGTTCTGGGCTTGCAGTGGTAGAGCCCTGGGTGGGGGTGGGGCAATCCTTCCATACAAGCCCCAAAGCACCCGGAGGACTCTGCAGGCAATAGCTATATTAGCAAGCTCAGAAAATGTCACTTTATCATAGAGCACAGATAGACCTACCACAAATACAGCTGATCGGGGTTTCCTTACTAGCATTTTCAAATGTTAATCCTACAAGTTTGACAAATGAATTCTGTAAAAGTCACAAAATTAAGACCCTTCAAAACCAAAATTCGTTAGGCGAGGAGAACAAACACGCACTTTGTAACCCCGACTATTAGTCTTAGGAAAGAGGATGCCTCTCCTCGCTTTGCGGCTGCCTTTTCCACGTGTGTTCTCCTATATCAAATAAACTAAGTCCTGGAGAGTAGAGGGGTTGAACAGCAGAGCAAAGTCCAGCAGAGCAAAATCTATGAATTACCTGCTTTAACTGATGCTACGAAGATCCCGGAAATATCCCATTTTACTGTAAACCCAAAGTCAAGACCGTTCCCAGGCGTCTGGTTTATGCTGATTCTCATATCGCTGAACTGATCCTGAAAACAAACATGAAACGTGGGATCAGGTGTCCCTGGCACCCCCCTGGAGGAAAGTCTATCCATGAAAGAAGGGAGGTGGCAGGCAAGGCGCACGGAGTATTTCAGGACCAACCTGAAGCTTCATTCTATTTTCCCCGAGTTTGGTAAAACCTTCACGCATATAAATATACCAAAAGTATTGTTTTTCTTCCAAAATAAGGCAAATTTATATCAACAGATGTTTTTCTTCACATTAACACAGTAAACCAGTTGGTCATTAATAAAGCTTAGGCTTTTGCCCACCATATAATTGTGTCTAATTTACAGACCACTTGTTATCACCCAGGAATGAAGTTGAGTGAGAATGTGTGTGTGCGTGTGTGTGCGTGTGTGTGTGTGCGTGTGTGTGCGTGTGTGTGTGTGTGTGAGAGAGAGATGGAATATTCTTAGGCCACGAGAAAAAGAAGACTCTGCTGCTTGCAACAACATGGATGAACCTGCACATTGGATGCCAAGTGAGATAAGTCAGGCAGAGAAAATACTGTGTGATGTCACAGGGAAGTGAAATGTGACAAAGCCAGACTTGTGAAAACAGAGTGAAATGGTGGTCACCAGGGATGGGGCTCGGGAGACAGGACAGAGCTTGTTAAGGGCACAAACTTGCAAAGAGCAGTTAACGAGCCCTGGAGATGTACTGCACAGGGAAGTGAATACAGACAACAATATTGTGTATCATCACCACACTTGTTGGCGACTAAAACGTAATGATTCTAACCACTAAAAAGAAAGGACGATTATGTAATGTGATAGAGGTGCTAATTATCACTACATTTATGTAATATTTAAATGTATCAAATTAACATGCAGTACACCTTAAATTTACAGTGCTATAAGTCCAATATATTTCAATAAAATGGCATGTTTGAAAATGCAAAAAGTATTTAAATCACCTATTTAAAAAACTTCACTATGCTTACAAAATAACACTTCCAACATTGAACTTAGTCAGCTGAATAATGTCAAGGGGTTCATAGACACATAATTCAGCTGCCGGTAGCATGCTCATCCAGGGCCGCTACCATCCCCCACCAAGGCGTTTTCGCTAGCCCCACCGCCCCATGAAGGTCTGGTGGGAAAGGCAGAGCTGCTCTACAAGCTGCAGGATGCAGAACTATGTTCTCTCTGAGCACCCACCACGAGGTGCCAACAGTGGCCCAACAGAGACCCTGAGCTGTACACCCCAGTTTCCTTGAAGTGCCATCAGCCCGTTAGCCGAAGAACAATAGCCGCTTGCACAACAGAGAGAAGTTTATTTGCGCGCCCATGACTATACCACATAGCAACAAATTCTAAGTTTCACAGGCATTCTTGAGCCATTTTCCAAAACAAATGTGCTAAGTTTTACAGGAAACCATGCCTATGAAAAATGTAACTGTCTTTCATCATTTACGTACTTTGGGTGAGCAGCAGATATGAAGTTTAACATAATGAGTTTTCCAGACCAGTGTTTTAGTTCTTTGACTCATAACCATAAAGAACTTAGACTTAAGTGTTTAAAGTCACTTGATTTTTTCAGAAAAAGGACAGTTTAATTTAGTAGTTAAACTGAAACCTAGGCCTGGCTGGGCAATTCCTAAAGACTTATGCCTAGATTTTTCCCACCTCTAAAACAGGTTTAAAATCCAAATGACAATATTCTGAGGAAAATTTCTCATTAAGTAGGAATTAGAAAGAAGACACTCAGTAAAGGCCCGAGGACTCCCTGTGTCACGTGCACCCAGAAGGTGAGTGCTGGAACAATGCTCACGTTCCATGGGCTCGACATTCGTCTGTCGTACATCTGATTCTGTGTGGGACACAGCGCTTAGCTCCTTGGGAAGTACGGATGAATCAGGCCTGGCCCTTGCTCTCGAAAAATAATTACTGGCTCTTCAACAGAGGGTATGGAATTTTTTTAAGGAAAAAAAAATGGTAGCTATTAATATAGAAAAGATTTCATCAGAAAGCTTGTAAAGGAGTTCAAACATGGGAACCCAGATGTAGTTAGTGAGAACACTCATTAATAATCAGCCTAAACACTAATCCCCAAAATAAACCTCTGCTATGAATAGAAAAAATTACTGGTTAGTTCTACTCCTTAACCAAAACCACCGTACACTTACAGATGACTCAATGAAAATATAGGATCACCACTCTCACCACCCCCCCAAAAAAATTCCAACTTAAACCCGATTAAAGTGCAGAATCTATTGCTATATAAGGGCAGAGAGACAAATGATAGGTTAGATACTCAAGACACTAATTGAGGTTTTTTTATCTCAAAGAATAAAAGACCGGATGGAGATTTAATAAATAGTCTTAAACTACATAAAGAATACTTTGTGGGAGACAGCAAATGAATAATATCCTTTTCTAGCAAATACAGGATAAAAGAGAATGCATGTGAGCCCTAGACGGAAGAGTCTCATATAATTATGTTAGACCAGAAGAACTGTCTCACGAAGAAGGGCCCTCTTCCCTTGGAAATAAATCTCTACTTGACCATATGAGACTCAAGGGCCCAGAGCCACCTGCCTGAAAAAGCTACAGAGGTGCCTCACGGCGGCTATGGCCTGGCAGACTGTGGTGTGGGTGGGTCCTTGGGGCTGTACACAGGCCAAGGACAACAGAGAACCACATGGACAAGTACAGGTCCATTTCTGTCAACATCCAGGGGGCCTCAGGTATAATGGCACTGAGGCTGGCAGAGCCTTCTCTCTTGCATGCACATTGATTTTCAAGCTTTTGTTTTCTAAAACCCTATTTTCACATGAAAGCCTTAAGCACACCACATCGCTCCCAAAGCAGTAAGTAGTAGGAAGGAGTAAAGTGGGCGGGTACGGTCTCAGGCTAAGGTCTGAGCCCTGCCTGCACAGCCCTCCTCCTTGGGGCTGTCCCTCAGACACCTCTGCGGAACTCAGGGTCATTAAATCAGCTTCTCCCGGAGACTCCTTGCAGGGGGCAGAGCCACAATTATTGTCAAGCAGAAACTATTCAACAATAATTTTACTTAGGATTTCTACTTCCATAATTTCCTCTGCAAGACACACGCCACATGAGTATTCTAGAAAGACAATGGGTTTATTCACTGGGAACTCAATGGGAAATTGAGTTTCTTGATACCTGACAAAGAGCTATCCCAGGTAGTTAAAGTACTCTTTGCTGGGAATGATAAAACATAGCTATCAATATATCTGCATTTAAAATAAAAATAATTTCCCTCAAATCAGGTATAATTTAAACAGAAATATGCATGAAAACTGCATATGATGATCTGGAGTAGCAGTACAATTTATTTTTATTAGATCTGGTAAATTAAGATCCTCATTTATCACCACACATGGGAATTAATGAAATACAGGGTCAATCTTATGAAATAACAATACAGAAAGCTGTTCTCAACTTTTCTGATTAGATAAGTGTGTTTACTTAAGGGAAGCCTACTTTAAGTGGATACAATTAAACACTAAAAGTAGATTCAGGCTCTTAAGTCACAAATAACAGAGGAAATAAATCACCTTTGATTTCTGTACACATGGCACTTTCGCACCTTTTCTCCAGGGTCTAAAGTAGAACTTGAACTCACAGTGCTGCTCTGGCACTGGCGCTACTCCTTCAGCAAATGGGCGTCTCCACTTTCCCCACTTCCCCATTCCAAAGAGGCAGGGGCATTCCCAGCTCGACCACGTCACTCAACCCAGTCCCAGCTCATCTCTCACCTACCAAACCCTTCCTGCTTTCAGGAAACAGTCTTCCAAATCACCCATTATCTCACTTTCTCTTTGCCTTTTTCTTCCATCTTTCTGGATGCCTCTCAGTTTTAGTAGTCTGTTCCTCCCCTTTCCATTTTCATTTTGCTGTTGTTCCCTTTGCTGTCGGTCTCTCATCCTTTTGACCACTAGCTTTCCTGAGTGACCTCCTTCACTTCTATGTCTTCAATGGCTGTCTAAGCCCAACATATCCAAAGCTAAATACATTGCCTTCCTGCCCAATCCTGCTCATCCACCTCTTGTTTTCATACACTGGTTAATTACATTGCTACCCAACTGGATGCCTAAGTTAGAAACACCAGCTTCCTTTTGGGACTTTTTTTCCTTTCTCCTCCTCCTGCTCCCCACCCCTACTCGCTACCATATACATGCATTTAATAAAGTGTTATCAGCTCCACAGTCCATAAATCCATCTAGAACCACCCCCCACCCTTCCATCCTCCTTCAGGTGACCATTTCACTTTGGCCATGGTCTCCCCTCTAAACTATTGTGGTCACCTCCGAAATGGCCCTCAGGTCTCTGACCTTCTTCTCCACCATCTTCCACATGGTTGTGAGAACTTTAGTATCAGAACATAACCATTATGATACCACACCCTGGTGTGAAATTGCTAGTAGCTCCTTACCACCTACTGGGTAGATTTCAAACTCTGCATTTCAGAAATAATTCAGTTGTGATAAGGTTCAATAAATATATACCTTCCTCCAAACAGTCTTTAGAATGACTTGATCTTTATGAATCAGAAGATATTTCAGTCCCTGTTAGCTCCCTGTTGGTTCCAGAATTCTGAAGACATGGCAAAGTTAAAATAAGTCAACATTTGGTGTTTATCCTTAAGGGAGTTCTCAAGTTTGAGCATGTCATATTTAAAAAAAAAAAAAAAATCAAGGTCAGAGAAATTACAACTGTGGCCTAACCATTTAACTGGCCTGGAGCATATTACGTAACTGTCAAATCTCAAATATTTCACTACTAATAATGGGGCTAATACCACCTACTTTGTAAGGTTATTGAGAGGAATAAACGAAATGTTTAAGAGGTGCCAAAGCACATAGTTGAAGCCTTGTAATTACCTTCTTTTTACCCATGGAAACAATGTCACCCATTATATATATATATATGCTGGTTGAGCAGTTTCCAGATCAACTCAAGAAAATCCTATTTAACGCTCACATACATAGCTTTAAAGCCCACAGAACTCAGCATTCAGCAGATACAGATCCAGGCACTGTGCTAACAGCCAGCAACACAGGCTTGTTAACTGCCTTCATATAAAGTCAGGTCCAGTGAACGTGACACGCAAGTAAAACGCGTGCTGTGAAGCTGGGCAAGGAAAAGCCCTGGGCATTATTAAGAGGGGCATTTATCATAAGCTCAGGGGTCAGGAAACAGACATGTAAATAGCTTCCTTCCTTCCATACTTATCATCCTATATCTGGGTACTGTCTTTAAAAATCTGGGGCAGATATTCCAAAATGAGGGTTTGGATGGGATTTGAGGGTGGAGGACCCTGACTGAACAAAATAAAATGAACACCTGTGGGTAACAGCAATTTGGGGAAAAAATCATGAAAGCCACCTCTGCGGGCAGCTAAAAGAGGATGAAGGACTATCTCCCCTTGCTTAGGTTCACCCCCAGAATTGTCTTAGTAGCTTGGATTAACAAGGGAGACAGGTAAAGAAACAAGACAAAAAAAGGAGAAAAGGGGACAGAAAAGAATAGAACCCACGGCGCTCGGCAATGGAGACGGCAGAGGAATTCCCGCAGGCAGAAAATGAGGTCCTATTAATCTCTCCCCTCCAGTACGCCTTTTCTTTTTTATGGCGTAAACCATCTTACCACCACAACTCTGTGAGAGGCTCCTAACCAGGCTCTGCCCCGGCCTTCATCTCCTTAGAGTAGTTCTACGTAACATCGCAGCGCCTCCATCCCTAAAACACCCGTTCACCTTAAAATGTCCACAGTAAAGATCCTATATGGACCTGAACTACCTACTGAGTCGAGGTTGGACTTCAGGCTAGAAATCAAGGCTTTAAATGCACGTCAAGTCAGTAAATAACTAAGTGCCAACTATGGGGAAGGGTGTGGACAGCACACACGATACCAGTGAACGTGACACAGTGAACATGTAGAACAAGGATGAAGTCAGCAAAGGAAACTTCTGAGGGTGAAAAATTCAGTTCCAAGTAGGGGAAGGAGATATTTTGACCCACAAAGAAAGTGACCCTTCTGGACCTTGAAAGAACAGGGGGACTTCTTCAACAGACAGAGGTGGGTGAAATAAACATTTTCAAATGGGATGAAAATAAAAACAAATATTTCTGATGTGTTCAAGAAAAAGCAAGCAGTCTCATGTGGATGGATCACCTGCTTTCTCTCCCTTTCCCACCACACAGGGTGGTTTAGGTAGCTTGAGTCAGACTGCCTGGGTTCAAATCCAACCCTGCCACTCAGTAACTTGTCCTGCCTTGGACAAGTAGCATGGCCACGCCCATGCCTCAACTGCCACAGCTATGAAACAGTGATGCCAGGGTCCCTGCGGCATTGAGTCCCTGTGGACTGAGATGAGGCCTCGAGATGCCCGGGGTTGGCACATGGCAATTGCTCAACAAGCAACTGTTAACAGCACTACAAAGGGACATTGGGGCCAGTGATGAGGAATCTCAGTGCTCCCCAGCGTGCCCTGCACTTCAGCGAAGAGACCCCTGGAGGCTTTGCAGCAGCCAGGCGACAGGGCCACCCTGGCACCACGGAGGGCACCCAGATACCAGCCTTTGCAGATGCAACAACACATGCACCTATTTACAAAGCATCTACATTGATGGGGAGAGGGCCTGGATTCTCCCTGGAGCAGGAAGAGAGAAGGGTAACATCAAGGAAGACTCTGAAGGGAGAAGTAAAAGGACACAACTAGCAAAAGTGTAAGTGAAGAACAAGAAGGCCTGGAGAACACCTATAAAACTACCAAGGCACCCCGTTCAACCACGCTCTATTTATTTTGCCATTCTCTGAACTCCTTGAGTTAGAGTCTGGACAAGAGTTTGGAGGGTCAACTATGCCCTTGACACATTAGTCATCGACTGTTTTGTGCCTTCTCAGCCCTTTTCCCAAGCCAGTGAGGTCCTCCCTGGGGACAAGAGCAGGGGGATGCCACACACGCCCCTTTTGTCAGAGTGCAGACGTGATCACCCAGCACCTCAGGGATAGGCAAGGCACCATATGACACACACCTACATTCAAGCATTCCAGTGATTCCACCTGTTAAATAAAGTCTAATTTTGCTTAGTAGAGTATCATTTCAGGTTTGGTGACAAAGGAGCCTAAAACCATTAAGGGTGAAACCCGAAACCATGCCATGGTAATTCGGGTTCCCGAGACCTGCAATAACTGGCACACACACCCACACTTAGCCTCTTTTCCCTAATCCAGGATGCAGCTAGTGAGCTGTCACCCCGAGGGCGCTCCCCGCACCCAGCGCCGGTGCATCAGTCAGGCAGTTCTGCCGCCTGTGCTGTTTGAAAGGTGCAGGCCCACAGGCGAGTCCACAAAACAAAAGACGCCTTGCTGCTGTTTCTGTTATTCATCCACTGGTGTTTTATGTTCCCCAAGTGTAACACAGGCTGTTTTCATCCACGGAAACTGATAATGCTAATTGTGTATTTCCAGTTCTTTAAAAATGAAGTTAAACACCCAAAACTAATATAAAATAACACTAAATGTAAACTGCAATTGAAACATAAAATAAAAAAATGAAAGAAAAACAAAAATAAAATTAAGAAAGTAGTTTACAAATAACTACTTTAGCAAACTGCAAAGATTTTTTTTGTTTATGTTTGTAAGTATGTATGGGAAAAAACTGAAAGAACTATGCCTAAATGTTAACAAAGATTATCCATTAATGATGAAATCATCAGTAATATTTTTGTGTACTTCTCTGCAGCTCCAAATTTTCTCAAGTACATAGTAGTTTATAATCAGGAAAAAAGCCTTAAAGTTGTAAAGTTTTATAGTCCCAATAAAAATCTAATAATACCAATTAAATGTGTTATTTGAAATTATTTCACATAAAGTTACTTCATTAATATCACTTAGGTCAAGTTCTATACTTCGCATTGTTCCTTGGAGAACAAAGAGGAAGGAACCAGAGAAAACGAGACTGAGCTAAAGAACCACAGAAGCACTTCCATGCTAAGGGACTCCTACATCACATTGTCTTAGGAGGGTTTTTTCTAAAAGAAAGAAAGAAGCTTGATCTAGATTCTAGACAATCAACAGCTCTTTAGCCTACATGTAAAACACACTAAAAGAACATTCGTTACCTATTAACTCTATTAAGTCATTTTGGGGATTTTAAGTAGGAAAAACTACACATACTTCCTTCCAGTCATTCTTCACCTGATGGTATATTTTGTTTAGACTCCAAATGTTAAAGAACACAACTGTCATACTGTAACTAACCCTCAATATTCCCATTAAGAGACAAGGGGTGGTACAAAACTCTAGATTTTCTAAAGTACACATTAGTGTTGAAAGTCACTAAAAGGTTAATATGACAGAGAGGTAAATGCCACGTCCCTAGAGGCCTGCACCTCCTGTGTGTACCAATTTCTCTCTGTGGTCACTTCGTTCCCCTGAGAAGGGGCCTTTATTACCCATTCACCCATTAGATCTGCGTCTAACACCTCCCCGGCAACGCCTGCACCTGTGTCCAGGACTGCTGTGCACTGGTTGTGTGAAGGCTACGGCTGCAGAAATGGGCAGGAGGAGGGAAACCCAGTGAAGCCCCAAGGACACTGGCCAACGGTCTCAACACACCCATCTCCCAGGGCCCTCTGGATCCAGAAACTTAGCCTCAAAAGACACCTACTTCCTCCAAGATCCGTTCAAAATGAAACGCAATCCTCATATTCCACATAATCAGCCCGTGTCACCGACTATACCACGTACAAACATGGGTCAAAAATATAGGTTCCAGGTTAAAGACAGGTTTCTGAGGATGGGTGGTTAAACACCTTTCCATACTCACCTTTGACCTGGAGACCTCTGTCTGTGGTGAGCTTCTCCCTTCTCCAAGCTCAGACATTACATCAGGGCCCGATGTTGAGGACAATGTGGCGTTAGAAGTGGCGGCCTGGTCCTGGGAAAGAGACGAGAAGGGCGGTGCGGGAGAGGGCAACCTCATCACACCCTCTCCGGACGTCGAGGTCTCTCTTTCACTGAGGGAGCTGGAAGCAAGCTGGCTCGGGTCAGACTTCTGCACAGAGGTGCTGACCGAACTGTACTGAGTTCTCTTAACGCCGTCTGCGTCTCCATTATACTTCCAAACGTCATCCATCTAAATAGCAAACATCATTTTAAACTTGGTACTGTTACATTTCTGCTTTAAAATGTACACATTAATATTGTAAAACTATACAAGTAGCATATATGTCCCACAGGAAAGCTTGGAGCACATCCTTTCACACCCACAGATGTGCACATACATGGGATGGGGAGAAGCTGTTTTCACACAAGTGCTCATGTTATAAGCAGACCTCTGAAGCTTGTGTTGCTCATTCACATTAGTCTGGGCCAAGAGATACAACTCTTTTTCGCTGTTGAATACTCTATAGTACAGACATCTACAATTTACTCATGTGACATGCACTGAATGTTGTCTAAAGTTTTCTGTAACTTCCAAAAATATTGCAACAAATACCCACACATCTATGTAATCAGGATATCTATTTTTATGGCACAGATTTCAAAAAGTAGATTTGCTGGAACAAAAGGGATATATATAAATTTTTTTAAAAGTATAGCAACACACGCCCAACATAATATACAGGGTCTGGCACAAATAATGCCCCTTTTTATTACAAAATCTTTTAATACAAAATCATAAACATGTAATTCTGTAACATAACAAAATTACACTCAAGCACACCATGTGATATTTTAGGTGAAATGTTCAAATTGCTGTCCATCTCGTGGGAGACATTCACATACCTTACCAACCACACTCAAGCAGGTGTTACTTCTGCCAGACCCTGTACAAGAATGTCTGTTTCTCTGCATTCCTGTAGACTCTAGACATTATGAATCTGATGGGTGAAAGGCTGTACACCTCATTCTTGTTCTAATGAGGCTGAACATGCACCTGGGTGCTTTATGTTATCAACCATTGAAATTCCCTCTCCCCTGAACTGGCTATTCATTTCTATGCCTATTTTTCTCCTATTTATCTTTTCCTTAACAATATGTAGGACCATTTTCAATCTTTAGGGTATTGACCCTATATCTATAATATATGTTACTAATATTTTTCCAAGTGTATAAACTATCTTTTGACTATGTTCAAAGTGTCTGTTATATAAATTTAACTTTTATGTTTTCAGATACGCCTGTATTTTACTAAATATGATGGTCAGGAGTTCCCTGGCTAATTTAGACAAGCTTCCCTCACTTTAATTGTTTTAATTTTTTTGTTTTAGATTCATTTGAACATTGATCTTAAGACTATATTGGTTCCTTAAACACAATTAAAATCAATATACCCACTTTCAGGTTGGTGGTACTGCTTCATTTTCTCAGGGCATATGATTCCACTTGCTGTGTATTTTTAATACCAATATAATAGAAATATTCATACAAGCATACCATGTTTATTCAAACATACCAAGTTCTAATGAAGTGGGAAATGAGAAAAAAATAGAAAATTGTACATAAGAACCTAAAAATGTTTAGGTTATACCATATGAAATTGCTGTTTTATAACTCTAAGAGTTATAAAAAAAGAGTTAACTATAAAAGTATGATAAATCCATATAGTTCAACCTAATACTTTACAAAAACTGTATTTGAGAAAATCTGATGCTAAAAAATAAATGCTCTGCCTTGGACTGTAGCTTATTCATTCTTCAAAATGTATTAGCTCTACTGTCATTGAATTTAAAGCTTAATCAGTTCTGCATCATTGCTATATTTTAAGCATTCAGTGTCTACTGAATCTATATTGGCTAAAATTAAAATCATGTTATGTGTTATGTACAGTTTACACACCAAGTGTACATAACTCAAACTTCTGCAGAAGCACACCAACAGTCTGCTCTGGAGACGAGAGTCAATGAACTGAGAACACTTTTTTACCGTGTAGGATCTCGGGAGCGATGAGATTCCCCTTGACTGAGAGCCAAAAGGTCTCGGTGTGACCACAGATGTCAACCTGGCTGTATCAGTTTTCTGGTAACTTCTGGGGAGAGAGGCTGAAATGCGAGTCGATGACTCCACGTGTGTGCTCAGCGGACGCGGAGAAGACAAAGGCGCCGGGCGCTGCTCCTCCACGGGGCTTTTCGGGGGACGCTGAACTTCAGCTGGGGGCGTGTCCTCTCGTTTCACCAGAGTCGTAGGATCGTGTTTAGGAATTTCTGCAGGAAAAGTTGTTCCCTTCTCTTCTACTCTCTCACTCTGGGGACTTGCCTCTGACATTGTTACTGCCGGGCGAAGCTTGTCTTCATTCAACACATCGTCATCAGAATACATTCTGCTCCTCGACGTAATCGCAGATGTTTGGTTTCGTGATTCCCTTGGCAGAAACACACCATGACCGCAAAGTTACACATTGATCATACGAAGGTAGAGTGACAGATCTAATTTTGGTAATTAACATATAAAATGGACTGGGAATCAAAGGACTACCAACTTCACACAATAAGCAATACAATAGTAACAGAATATGAGGAGAAATACATGGAAATTTTTTTGTCATACTAAGAAATATTATAAGAGCTTGGTTTTTGTTTTTGTTTTTTTTAGAGAGGCTCTCAAATACTTCACAGGGATATTTTTTAAGTTGTAAAGATAGTTTAATAAGAAAACTAAGAAATTTTAATACAGAGTTATTCACCAAATTTATCCACAAGTCTATAACTCTTCCAAAATTGACCTATTACTAGTTGTCTGACAACCGGTTTGACCCCTCCAGGGATGTAGATTCCTTGTCAGATTGTACTTACTGTATATGATTTATAATAATTTAGTAAAAAGTAAAAGACTACAAAACACACAGACTTCCATTAAGATCAAGTTTTTCCATGGCTTCATTCAGCGTCACAGAATTTGCATGGACAATTACTACAGATTAAAAGTCACCATTCATGCTTCTGGAGAAGCCGAGGAAACAGTCTCACCTCGAGCACTTTGTGAGGAGTAGCTCTCCAGCTAACTGTGCTGCATGTGAGTGAGTGAAGCTGTGTTTACCATTGGCTTCTAGGACACAAAGGAGCTTTGTTGCATTTCACCTGACAGCACGTTTCCTCTCTGACATTTTCCTTAAAGTGTATTTGCCATCTCCCCCACCTGTTCATGGCCTGGGTTTCACGTAGTAACTGCTCCACAGGAAACTTTAATTTGACCTTTTATTCTGTGATGTTGCGTTGCAAAAGATAAACCCTTGCAATTCATTTTTATATGGTCTTCCTTTAAAATGCAATTTTAACTACACCACTAAAACATGAAAAAGGACTTCATTATATCTTACACAATTTAGAATGAGAGGTGGTTTTATTTGACTATTCCATTCCTAAATTCACTTAAAAAGGAAAAAAAAACAGTTTATCTTCTGCACCACATATAGCCAACACCACTCAATTCTGCCTGTGAATATTCAATGTAAAACGAAGAAATAATGCATATCTATTTAGCATGCATCTGTTTTGCTGATCCAAGTATCATAGCAATACTGTGCTGTTTCACTGAGAAGCAAAATGCTGAAAGTTTCACCGCACATTTGGTGACAGCTCAGTGTTGATGCACACTTAAATCACCCCACACACCCACAGCATTTCTGTTCCTCACACTGGCCTCTGCAGCCACGAGACCCATTCGGCCTTGTTACCTGTCCTGCAGCATTTCCTCAAATGTCTTCGAGCTCCTCTCAGATCTCTCGAGCGCCTGCTTTTCAATTTCTTCCCTTTCTTCTTTTTTCTTCTGCAAATCTGAAGTGTAGCTTTTTCGACGATCTTTCCATTTTGCAAGGTCCTGACAGAAGAAAATCACATCACACAGGCATACCTGAGTTTCTACACACCCTTTCTGGCAGCGAGCGTGCACCGGAGTATCCCATTACATAGCTGAAACTATTCACTCCCACTTGATGCCAAGGTGCCCTAATTTTGCTTTTTATAGCCAGCGTTTCTGTACCAAGCCTTTATCTCATGTGTCTGCCTAAAAAACCTGACCTAATAAGATAGGCCCCATTTTTGTTTTCCTACCTCCCTGCCCATTTCACGAAGAAGGCTAAATGCTTGTAATTAGGTGCCAGGTCAGAAAGATCAGGAACTGTTTCAAGTTCATTTTCATCCCACTCCCATAATCTGGCTGTTATACGAAATGACACTTTTTCACTAGTGAAACTGGAAAAGAAATGTGATCGCAAAATGGTGACACGTGGGTGCACACTGGGTCTTCCATTTAACAGACCCCGAGCTCAGTCCCTCTTTGAGGCGGGGGGACTGCCCACACACAGATAATCAGACGCACTCCCCCAACCCCGGGAGCTCTCAGGGTAGAAGGAAAAACAGACCTGTAACTGAGGGTTCAACCACGAGTGAGATGAGATTGCTGAGGGAGTAGGGATCCAAGGGAGATCCCACCTCAGGCAGGGGTTTGGGAAGGCTTTACTGGGGAGGCCAGACTCAAGTACACGACTTCAAAGCGGGTAAACTTCAAGTAAGGACGGGGCAATAAGGAAGATCACACAGGAACACGTGGACACCTGTTTCCCCTATTTCTAGGCATAGAAGTCTCACCTAGCAGGGTGAACCCAGGACAATCAACCTAACTCAGCTTTAAATTAGCCCTCACAGTCTAAGCTGGTGCTAACACCCAGGGGTTTAAAGCATTTTGAATGGTACAACTTTGTTTGATATCTCCAACACAGAGAAATCCCATACTAAGAACTGCTAGTGTCATTCCAGCCCAAGTAGCAGCCGATCCAAGTTCTCAGACTAAAGGGAATCTCACCCCCAGGTCCTGTGAAGCTAAATTTGATTTATACCTTTTGGGGGCAGACCAAGCCATTCTGCTTTAAAAACAGCCTGAAACCAATATGCACAATTTTCAGAAAGAACAAAAGCAGTGTGCATTTTGTCCTATAGGATAACAAGAATGAATGTTTATCTGACTCAACCTAATGGATAACTCCTCATTACTAAATTATTTTCACACTCAAACTGTTACCATGTATTTTGGCAAAGTGACATCGCATTACTGTTTCCTAACAATTAAATTGAGTTCCCAACTAAAACAGTCACTTGAATTTTGAAATGTAGCCACAACAAGGCTTTCTTCTTCATTGCTTAGACTTTAACTCCTTTGAAAATTAAGATTTACTCTCCCTTGCCCTTTTGTTCACGCTACCACTCAATGCTATCACCATAAAGATGTCCTCAAACTGCTTTGGGTTTGCTCTGTGTAGTTTATTGTATGTCTTTACACTCCTTTGGTTTATAACAATTCCCCCTTTCAAAATAGGTCAAGCTTCTTCTCTGCAGGGACAGAGCTACAGATTAAGTCAATATTCATAGAGCAATCTTTATCTATGACAGCTCTATGAAAACACCTAATTTTGATTCATTTTATATAGTTACTCTTTCAACCAAAATATTACCCTGACTTATAGTTCATACTTCTTATAAACCTCCTCTATTAACTCTAAGGACCTGTTCCCCCTCCTCACGGATGCCAAGAACGACTCGGGGCTGGAGCCCCTGATCCTCTGCTCTCCCGGGCCCTGAGCGAAGTGTCTTCCTTCCCCACACGCAGTGGTAACAGCCCTACCCCGAACTCAACCATCAAAGCAAGTCAACAAGTTAGCAAACCTGCAAGGAAGCAGCTTCTCATACTCAAGAACTTGAGAATATTAGATCAATATCTTACTGTATTTTTCACAATGGACCTTAAAATACACAACAGTAATCAACCAAAAAGGCTTCAAATCTTTTTTTTAAAGGAAGTTGATCACATTTTCTACAAAACTGAGTTTTTTAGTAGCAAGGAAAATTCTCTCAAGTATACCAACTTTCTTTTCAGGGAAGCAAAGAGAAGTCAAACAAATACACTTTCCCCATCTTTCCATCTCCCAGTATAAAGCATACTCACATCCTGCCATTTCTGATCTTGTTCTTTCAGTTGTGATTTTATTTTCTGCATCTCCTCGTAGCGCAGCTGACGCCAGGTCTGCACGTCCTCTGCGCTGACATCACTCATGGACTTGCTCCTGTAACGAAAACGCCCTTGGTGAGCGAGGTTCACATGACCGGATTTAAGGTCAAAACTGGAAGGTTGGGCTTATACTTGGAAATTCCATCTAAATTTCTGCTGTACTACCTAGACGCTTTAGTGATAATATCACAGAAATAGCACTACAGAGATAAATGGTGTTTTTCCAAAACGCAGAAACAAGAGCCTCGCACCAACTCGAGTGTGAATTCTTTCACAAAGTGGCTAAAGGAGACCTGCCCGAGTCTCAGAGAACAAGCCGACGTTCCTATCTGCAGTGCTCTAGGCATCCAGGAGTTATTGCAAAAAAAATGATAATTATTAGTCCCTAGAATAATTTGTCTTTATTTTTCTATCTCTCCCCAAGATAATCTTGCAAGGTTTGGCTGCCTTTTCTGGGCACTTATTAAATAATTTAACGATTACCTGATATTTTCTCCTCAAGTTCAATACCATGAGTAAATGTGCTGCTTTTTCTCAATGATTTTAAAAGGTCTGCCCCCTGCTGCACTGGACTTGCTTGCAAAGCCCCACACCACAGGTGGCTTCTACTACCCAGTTGTAATAGAACCTCGAGAGTTCTCTTTTTTAGTGAGGCAGCCTCCATGTCTTACATGCGTGACCCCTGCCATGAGGGTGGATGGAGGGTCAGCTCTCTGGGACTCAATCTAGAGGAGAACCCAATGAGCAGGGTGGGGTGTTGGACGCAATGCCCATGTGTGCTATGTGCGTGCACCTAGGAAGAGGAGGGGTGAGCTGCCCAGAGACGGTGAGACTGAGGGAAAAAAGAGAGGAGTCGGATCTGAATACTAAAGAGCAGGCAGGAATGAGTGAAGAGAGAGAGACAGAGCTTTAAAAGGTGGGATGTTCAAAATGCCCTTTCCTACAAATCTTTCATAATGTACTTCTGATTTTATTTCATTGTAAGTAACTCTATACCTCCTCCTTGGGGCCCTAAACTTTGCCTTCCCCAAGATTATGCCATTGCTACATGTCTTTTTTTTTTTAAGATTTTATTTGTTTATTTTTAGAGAGAGGGGAAGGGAGGGAGAAAGAGAGGGAGAGAAACATCAATTGTCTCTCACATGCCCCCTACTGGGGACCTGGCCCACAACCCAGGCATGTGCCCTGACTGGGAATCGAACCCACAACCCTTTGGTTTGCAGTCGGCACTCAATCCACTGAGCTACACCAGTCAGGGCACCATCACTACATTTCTTTTATAACATGCTTGCCCTTGGCTATCTCACAAATTCAATTATGACCTCTATGCAAATGACTCCCCAAATCCATGGACTAGGGCAAGTTCCCGCCTTTAACTCAATTACAATTGCTCAATAGATTAACATCTCGGCATAGATATCCCTAAGCACCTAAATTGTAAAAGGAACTAATTGAAAGAATATCAAATAGGATTTTGTAAATAGTAACTCACAAAACATATGGCTATTGTTGATGTAGCCAAACTCAGTCCTGTCCCCAAACTTGCTTTTCCTCCTATAGCTGTGAGTGGTGTGACCTGCCCTCCAACCATCCACATTTGAAACCAAAGAACCATTTTTCACCTTTGCCTCTCCCTCCTTCCTACTTTCAATTAGTTATCAAGTCCTCTTACTCAGTGTCTTTTTTTTTTTCCATTTCTACTGCCAGCACCCTAGATCAGAGCACAGTCAACTCTTACTCAGACTTTTAAAAAGCTTCTTCCATTATCACCCAGCCTCCAGCCATGGTGCAGCTCTTTCCTGAACCATTCTCTCCTGTCAAAAGTCCTCCATCAGTAAATGTGCCTTCTTAAATGCCCCTCTGTCCTCAGGAATCCTGCTAGACTAACCTCCAGATGGGTATATGCAACTTGCACTTGAGTTGTCTAACAGGCAACTCAAAGTTAACCTGCCACAGACCAAAAACATGACGGTTCATCCTACACCCTGCTCATCTCCCATCTCCCTCATCTCAAAAAGAGTCAACTCCAGCACTGCAGGCTGCAGGCCAGAGACCCCGGAGCCATCCCAGACCCCTCTCTTCCTCTCACATGTACCTGGTCATGGATCCCATCAGCAAATCCCGTCACTCTGCCTTCTGAATACATCTAGGATGCAATCACTTCTCACCACCTGCCCCGTCACCACCCTGGTCCAGGCCCTCCTAGCTCCTCTATGTATTACTATTATTACTACAATAATTAGTTTTCCACCTCTTCCTGGCCAACAGTGTATTCTTTGCAAAACTGCAATCAGATCATTGTATGCATCTACTCAACACCCACCAGGTCCTTCGCATCTCACTCAAGTTACACACAGGCCCTACCAAGACTTACAAGGTCCAGCCATGACCTGGTCCCTGCCTACTTCTCTGCACTCATGTCCTGAAATGCTCTCCCCCGCTTGCTTGGCTACAGCCCACCACCTTCCTTGTTCATAATCCAATATGCGCTCTTCACCCAAATACCCACAGGGCTTAATCTCTCACTCCCAGTCACCTGCTTCAATGTTACCTCAGCATTTCCTTCCCTGACCATGCTATGAAAAATAGCAAATGTCTGTCACCCCGGTTCACCATTCTCCTTACTCTCCTTCTCCACAGCACATGTTGCCATCTGAGATGTATGTTTATGTGGACATCACCTGACTCATCCTATAAAATTATGAAGCAGGAGTTCTGTCTGGGTTGTTTGCTGCTACAATCTGTGCCTCAAAGAGTGCCCAGGCCATGGTAGGTGCTCTTAAACATGTTAATGATCTAGATAATATTCTACCATTTTGATACACTCTTCCCAGCTGCTCCATGTGGAAAGCGGTCTCCCCCTTCTCCCAGCTCCTCTGGTGCTGGAGCTCTACCTTTCTCATGGTACTTAGAGCTCAGCGCAGGCGCATACAGTGTGTGTGCACAAGCGTGCACACTGACTTAGCTCCCTCACAGGTTCACGTGTTGCTTGCAGGATACGCTCATTTAACATCCGTGGTAAGAATGAAGAATGTTTTATCACATTTAGTCAAGCAAAATAAACTTGAAATGTCTCTAACTTTTTGGGAGAATTTATGACTCCTTCCCAAAGTTTTTACAAAGAAAGCTTTATAGGATTTATTAAGGACTACTAAAAAAGTCCATATAGGAAATATATGAATTTAGAAATGAAATTATATATTGATCTATTAATGTAATATTACTTAACTGGGTATGACTATATAAAACTGATTTATGTGACTTTGAGGATATAAATTCACTTAACTTGTAATTGCAAAGAATAAGGTTATTTCAGCTAATACTGTAACAGACTCACTAGAAAGAGGCAAGGAAAAATTTCAAGAGCAGGGCTCAAGGGGAATCTGAATAGTTCAAACATGCAGTTACATACATTCCAGAATGAAAATGCAACGTAAATATTATAATAATCTTTTGGGAGGGGAAGGCTGGGTGGTCCCCACTGGCCTAGACGTGTCCATCAGTGCTCCTTAAGCGCTCCTCCTCTTGCACCACAAAACCTTAACTTGTGTCTTTTCAGAACACACGCTCATCGCGGGCAGAGGCGGCACGGTCCTTGGAGAGCTCACATCGCAGAGGCCGGTACACAGGCGGTGCCCAGTGTGAACAGTGAGGCGAGCGCCTGGCGGAGCAGACAAGTCCCAGCATAAGGCAGCAACGTGAGCTCTGCAAGAAGTTACCGACTCAAGCCTGAGCACTTCCCACAGAGGCTGAGCCAGAACCTGCGAGCAGGCAGGCGGCAAGGGCTCCAGGCCTGGCCTCAGCACGTTTCCATGCCTCACCTAACATCACTTCACTTCTCTGAGCCTCAGCTCCTCCTCTGCTGAGCAAGGAAAGGATTGTTAGGAGACGTGCACCAGGTTATGACGACTGCATTTCAATAACCACCTGGTGCTATGAACCAACTAGTCTTACTAAGGCAAATATAACTGTGTGGGATCTTCTGAAAACTAACCTCCAAAGCAGTTTCAAATGAGAGAGGTCACCCCAGGCCACACCGATAAAATCTAGAACTTTTGGCGTGCGGGAGTGTTTCAGCCAGATGGTGAAGAATTCTTTCTTTCCTTATCAGAGTTAACAGCATAATAAACTTCTGAGGGCTCACCGTGTGCCAAGCAGCCTACTGGATTATCTCATTACACAGAACCCTCGTCCGGTTCTGCCACTCACAGCGGGCTGTCCTTGGGAAAGCTGCAGTGTCTGTTTCTCTCTCTCCGTGTTTCTAAACACACCCACCCGCCCGTCCACCTCACAGAAATGAGACGGGCACCACAGACAGTCTCCCCCAAAACTATAAAAGACTACACAGCTTTAATGCGTCTTGTGGAATGAATTACTCTTCACTAGCCAATCACAATTCTTACAATTCATCTACTTGCCACCTCTGTATCTGGAAAGGCTTCAATTTAGAATTCCATTTGGATTAAAAAAAAAAAACAAACAAACAGGTCTAATGTGTTGCATTTTCAGCTGAATAGAAAATTTTAAAGAGCACTAAGAGTAAAGAAAGAAAGAAGGGGCAAGAAGGTATAGATAAGCCCTGGCTGGTGTAGCTCAGTGGATTGAGCGCGGGCTGCAAACCAAAGTGTCGCAGGTTCGATTCCCAGTCAGGGTACATGCCTGGGTTGCAGGCCACAGCCCCCAGCAACCGCACATTGATGTTTCTCTCTCTCTCTCTCTATCTCCCTCCCTTCCCTCTCTAAAAATAAATAAAATATTTTTTAAAAAAGAAGGTAGAGATTATAAAACAGTAGTACTAAAATCTTACGCTCTTCTCCCATGAGGCTAATCAACTGCTCCTCTCCTGGGACTTCTGGACTCATTTTATGATGCTCAGTTTTAGAACATTCATAGATAACTATCTAAGGAGTAAAGGATTAAAAAGGACCAAGGCGTAGCAAAATTTCCTTAATATAAAAACCACTGGTAACCTTATGGGGCAAACAGAAGTTCCATGACACTAAGTTAGGGGGCCCCAACCTTCAGAGGAAGATACAAATATATTTATTAATGCACCTTCAGATACAGGATGGGGCAAAAATAGGTTTACAGTTGTAAGCATGCACAACACAGCTTATCCTTGTATTATTACTTATTAATTATTGTATTATTTTCCATAGGAACAACTGTAAATTTACTTTTGACCCACCCTGTGTCCCTCCATTAGGTGTTGTAGGAATTGTCTAAAGAGTAATCAATACTAAAACCTGGGTTCGAGGCTTTAGAACTACCATAAATGAGACTGATAAACAATATAAGAGAGACTTTTCATTTACAGGTTTATAGCCTAAGCCAGGGCTTCTAGGTAAGCTAGCAGTTCTGTTGACATTTGGGGGCCAGAAAGTTATGTGTGGTCGGGGCCTACCCCGCACACTGAATGGCAGTCAGCAGCCTCCCTGGAGATGAAGGCACTGGGTGCCAGGGGCAACACCTGTCTTCTCAGCAGCCCACCCAGTGTGACAATCAAAAACGTCATAGACATTGTCAAATGTCTCCTGAGGGCAAAATTCCCAGAAAGTAACTCACATTAACTTTATTTTCCTTTTCTTTTTGTTGTCTTATGTGTCCTTATAGTTCTGAAGACAGTTTTAGCCAAAACCCACAGGTGAAATATAGGTATCTTAGTTGCCTTTGATTACAACTTCACCTTGAATCAATATCCATTTCCTGTTGATACTTGGCAGCAGATTCAATGGCTTAATCATATTGCAAAATTATATCTGTATGCCCTTACAAATTTCTGTCATTAGAGCCCACCAAGAAGCATCATGACCATTTCAAATGTCACGAAACCATACAGACATAAGTTCATGCAACACGAAAGCACACATGTGAGGAAAGACTGCCACATACAAAGCATCTTATCAAAAATAAACAAAGTTACAGGTGTTAAATGCCAAATAAAAAGCAAGCCATAAATTAATAATCCAAGACTTCAAAAGATAATGCCTATTTCTCTTTAGCCAGGTCCCTACCAATAAGAAAGTATTCATTATTGTTCAAACACAGGATGTTGAGCAAAAATGATTTTCTAAATATTTCCAAGCTTGATGAGATACATTATGTCCAGAGAAATGTCACCCAGAAATATCAGTTCTTTTACATTTATAAACACTTACAAACACCTTTATAAACATGAAACAAGTTCCAGATTAGAAGCCTATGTTCAATTCAAATTTTTTGCTTTCAATGCAAATCAATTTGAGAAAAATATTGGTAACTGACACACTATAAAAAAAATACCATATAATAGATTTTGATGCCAGGGGTCTAAAACACACTTGAGTGTTGTGAAGACATATTTCTATTTGTCTTTCTTTCCATTATTTGACAAGGCAAGCATTATTCATCAGTCTCAATTTACAGACAATCTTTCTTTATTTGTGTTGTTACCTTGGCACCAAATTGCTTTTAAAACAAGTACTGTACTATGCAAGCAACAATCTTGAAATAGTCTACAGGAGGTATTTGCTGCCACTAGCGATAGGCCAGAAAAATCCTTAGCCTTCAGAGCCTTGGCGTTTGGTGTCTATCTTTTCTTAACCCAGTTATATAAGGTATCCCTAAAGAGGACCGTGTACAGCCATTGAAATAGCTGGACATGTGTACATCCCTATCAAGTGACTTAACACTCAGGGTACTTGCAGCCCCTTTAAGAAAAACAACCTGTTTACATTCTAATGTCTTATTTACCAATGAAAATTCTTCTGCAAGCTATCATTCAAAACACTTGAAGCTGCAAAGAGATCTTTTCATCAAGTTAAAAACAGCATTCCCATGATGAGTCGAGGTCAGCAGATGCTTAAGCATCGTGCTGAAGTGGCCACACTCGTCCCCACTGATGGGAATACCTGAAGCACGTGAGGAGCTGGAGAGGACTAGTGCGCCCTTGCGTGGCGCACTCACAGCATGCTGGGAGCCCAGTGACTGGGAGGGACTTGCAATTCGTTGCCTATGGTTCAGTTACACTTTTGACATCCAGAATGGTTATATTGCTTCAAATAGCAATTTTAGTAACTTCCAATGTCTCTACACTATCACATTATCCAGAGCTATCAAAATTAGAGAATCTTAGAGATAAAATAAATCCCAATAGAGAAAGACACTTAGCTACTAAGTCTTTGGCCTTAAAATTGAAATACTTGATTAAAAACTTAACACACTTAAGTTTACTTCTTGCTCAAAAATATTAACAGTTAGATTCACAGTGTTACAAAAACTTTGACAGGAAATATTTATATGGAGCCACCTGGTTATTTTTCACTAAGAATAAATTATTCTACACAGTACATTGTAAAAGTAAAAGTGTCATTTCCAGAATGACAATGCCTTTTAACACTGTCATTCTGGAAATGGAAAATATTTCCAGAAAGTTATTTGTATAATAATTAATGTCTACCTGGTAACTAAAAACCTTTAACTATAAAGGAGATAATTAAGAATTAGTTATAAATAGGGTCCCTGCAATAATATTGGAAACTACCAGGATTTTAATTTTTGTAATTTTGGCAGGCCAATTTGACTCTATAACACAGCAATCCTGGAAGTGTTTTGAAGTCCTACTGAAGGAAGACTAATGGCACTCACCATCCAAACTGAGGAAGCACCCCACGAGGTAGGAGCACGTGGATAGTGCCAGCCACGTGTGTTCCACCTCAGAGTAAATGCTAACATCCTCTTCCCATCCCGGGTTTTTCTGAAGTGCAGTTATATGGTTTTCAACATCCACAAATAAAAATTTAGGCCTATGTAGTATTCAAATACCAAAATAAATATACGTAACCCTAGGTGTGAATGCCTTTGCTACTTGTAATCCACTTCTTAAAAGAAAAAAGAAAACAGGACCCAAACGTTGAAGTTCTGATCAAACAATTCCATTGTTGTGCTACAGCAGTGCATGCAGTGGGCACTCGGATGCGTTGCCTAAATTAGGTTGCTAAATTAAGAAAAATATCCCCCTTTAAAATCTCATGCATAGCCCAGAGCACCCCCGTTTAGTGGCATGCCAGGAGACACGTGCAGTGACACATGACACAAAGGACAGACGATGTGCAGAGATTTCTTTTTCACTGCAAACCACAAAACTTACCCATTGGCACCATAAATCTTTTGAAAGAGTCTAAGAAATCAGAAAACCAAAAGTTAAAACCCATTTTTCCCAGTGAGTTACTTTTTTAAATAGTCAACATTTTTAACTTGAGAGTCTAACAAGAGATGGACAAATCTCAAAAGGTTGCTTCTTCAGTCCCATTCTTGACCATGCCTCAAATTCTCATTGATCTCGCAACTCAAAGAATTCACATTAAGCAAGATAAAGAGTTTCCTGATTTAGCTGGAACTAAAAAATCCAAAATAAAAAGCTTTCTGTGGCTAGGGACTAATAAAAAGTGAGATTTACATCTACAAATTTTATTCAACCTCATCATATTTGTCCACCCCCGTGTTCAACCAACTGAACATTCATCAAAAACCAAGTTGCATAACACGAGCATAAATGTGCTCATTATTACAAAAATGGCCATAATTACAGACATGTAGAATTTAGCAGACAGCAAATAATATTCATGCATTTTAATAGTTTGCACTGAACTTTAAACTATAAATTTACAAAGTCACGCACTGATAGTCCGAGAAACCTAGGTCAAAAACAAAAACCAAAATCAAGTTAAATTAAACTTGCAATGCCACATTTTAAGGAAAATTTTTACACAAAAATCACACACTCCAAAATGAAAAGCACATAAAACCAAGCTACAACCAGACCGTTTTAGAAACGCCTGGACACAAGAATAAAAATCTATAAATGGAGTTGGAAAACATTTTCATGAAACACCATATTGCGGAATAGTACCACAGTCTTCCTCAAGGCCAAAGGCAAGGATTGTGTGCACACTTCCTTAAACTGGCCTCAAAGAGCTGATTCAAATATGGAATTTCACTTTTTCCATACCATGTGCAAAGGTTTCTCAAAGCAAAATAAATTTGTAGAGGCTGCTTTAAATGGCTCGTGACATGCAGTCGGGCAATACTCGTACAATGCCACTTTCTCACACAAGAAAAGTTACACGAGACCATCCATCACAAGCAAAATCCTTGCAGAAACACACTCTGACCTCTCCACCATCAGCCGTTTCTTGTGCCTAAGCCTGCTGGCCTCCCGGATGGCCTCCCACTTCTGCAAGTCCGCCTCACTGCAGGGCCCCGGGGTGAAACGGATGGGAGGCAAAGGCGTCCCCAGCTTCCAAGCCTGGATCTTACGAGCGAGCATATCATCTTTCTTCTGCCGATAGGAAGGAACTAATACTCTACAGCTATTGCTTTGTTCCTTGGAGGGGCACGTCCTTTCAAGTACACAGAGAAACTTTGCTTGAATTTCCGGAGGAAGAGTCCAGGGCTCAGGGAAAGGGACTGGCTGGTACCTATCCGGGGCCCCCGACAGAGGCACCTCTTTCTTCTGTGCTGGGATTCGGCGAACAATCATGTCGTCTTTTTCTAGATCTGGAAGTACAAGTTCACCTTCCCTGCATTGCAGAATTATATCTCGCTCTACAGGATCATCGTGCTCAGAAAACCTTCTGAAGTCCTCGAAAGCCCGGAGAACACACGGATTGGCGTGGAAAGCCCCAGTCTTTCTGACAAAGAAATCGTCATTCTCCAAGTCAGGATCAAGGAATGACATCTCAGAGTCACCTCCTCTAGACCCTGGTGCATAAGAGACATTCTTCCTGCGTGTTATGAGCCTTGGGCCAGCAGTGGGATCGATTTTGACATTTGTTTCGGAAGATAAGATGTCATCAGAATACGTTTGGAGGGCCTGAAGTAATAAAAACTGACTGAAGCATAGAAAAGAAAAAGGAAGGGAGAATCTTATTAAGTTTATGAAGGAGAACAGGTCGTTAGGTAGCAGACCAACTAGCCATTATTGTTGTATTGTAAGGGGCATGCGAGGGACTCTCGTGTGGAAGAAAGACTAGTGTGTAATGCCATCCCCCGTGACTTTGCTGGACACCACTTAAAGAAACACGAGCAGAGTGTACTTCTCAGGGAAGGTGGGCACCATAAAGGCCAAGTGATGGGGCTAGAACGAGACAGACTACACACACCTCCCTAAGACACAACACAACACTCGCTTTCAGCTCTCCCTCACCCCATGAGCCACAGTGACCTCCTTCTCATCCCAGAGAAGCAGCCATGACCTTGGAAAGGTGCGAGTTGGCCGTGAAGCACTGCATGCAGTAGGAACTGGCAGGAAGCAGAAATTTAAAACTACAATGCTCGGAAGCTACCTAAAAGACCCCGATGGTTCTTTTCTTTGCAGTTTCCCACCAGACCTGCCTGTCCTAGCATTCATCTAACAGTTATTTCCTTTTTCTACATCGCCACACACAGCACAACTGTAAAATTAGGTCCACTTTCCCAAAAGCCTTTTAGAAATGGTTTTCCCAAAGAACTGACTATGTCACACGTGACTCTATACTATCTTGTATATAATTCTGTTAAAGAATATTTAGACTTCCAAGCTTACATGCCCACACAGAAAGCAATTATGTTCTACATTATGCTTCTACACTAAGTAGTGAGTGAGTACGGTTTCATGATTCAGCACATCAAGGTCAGAGGTTAACGGAGCAGCAGAAGCTGGCACAGGTGCTGCAAGCCAAGCCCAATGTGGGAAGGCGCGTGCAGGCAGAGACACCTGGGCTCATCCGAAGCACTGCTGGTTCTCCCGGCTGCACGGGTGTCCCATGTGCTCCTGGCTCGGTGGGTAGCTAGTTCCATCAAGAGTGAACGTCTTTGGCAGCTGCTGTCTAGCCTACGCTCTGCTTTTTGTATCCTACTAAAGATGGCAGAGCTTCTGTCAGAGCCTGAATCCTCATCCTCAGAGTCTGAATTCTTCCTACCGTGGAATGAGGCAGAGAAAAGGGGGAGAGAGAGAAGAAGGCAAAGAAGTGGAGAAAAATATAACTGAAACATATGTCAAGCTATGACTAGGTACAGAAAAGGGCTGTTTCTCAGTTACAGAGGCTCTACGGATGTTGGAGGGAAGCCAGCCTGTCTGTCTCGTAAAAAGCACACACAGAACGCACCCCAGCCAGGGTACTGAGTGAACAGTGGACTGACAGAAACATGCATAAAGACAAACCTGAATCCCTGAAATTCTTTATACCATGGTCTATAAGTTTCCCTTTTTATTCTTTTCCAGTTCACATCTTCCGGGATCCAACATTTGGGAAGAAACTGATCGAAAGCATTCCCTGGGTTTGGCATGATGGGACTTAGCTTTCGCACATAAAGATCATCCTTTACAAGGTTGGGTATGCTTGTCCTTTCTTCCTCCTCCTCCAAGTAACAAGAGGAGACTGACGTTTCTTGTACTGTTGGCCAGTGCTCCACGTTTGTGCCCCAAGTCCTCCTCTCGTTACTGTTCAAAACATCCAACCAGTTAAGACATCGTGTGAGCAATTTGTGACAGAATACAAAAGACATGCTTTCTGGCTCCCAAAGTTTATACTACTGTGAATGAAGCAAATTAATTTCCGTTCTCATCACTACAGCTCCTAGAACAAAGTTAAGGCATCATCACAGCATCTCATTTTAATTAGAGCATTTTAATTTGGCCCTTGATACACAAGGGCCAAAGACAATAATGTGTTAACAGAGACAAATTGCATACAATGTGGAGTGTGACTTTATGTATTAAAATCAACAGAATAGACATTCGAATCCAGGAGACATTTTTCTAACTTTTTCAGTTTGTATACCCGGTGGCTACTGGGTCAGGAGGAGAAAATACTTGCGAACAAGAGTGAGGAGAGAGTGTTTCGGAGCTGAAACTCTCTGGCCTCTTTCTCACTTGGAATCCACAGTTGGCTAAGTCATCCAAAACTACATCAGGCGACCTTCACTCATCCATGAATTCCGGTCCACTTTCAGAGCTGCATGCCTCCTTCTGGTGGGAAGCTGGATTTGAAAAGTCACACCCTGCTCTGCTAATTTGCTGAGAAATTAAAAGATTCTTTCTGTGTCCACCGAGATCAAGCAACACAGTGGGGTAAAAGGGGCGAACAACAACACGGCAGAGCTGGCAAGGAATAACCATGTCACCCAGGAAGCTGAAAGACAGCACTAAGGCCAAAGGCGGGCGTCTAAAAAAAGAACCGGCAAATCATATTGCTGACATTTTAAAATGGAAGAAATATCTCCAAGCTATGTCTAACTAAAAATATAGGAAAAAACATGTTCATTAATGAAGTTTAAAACCTTATCTCTGAAATACAGTTTAGGAACCACTGCTGTGACCACACTGACATACCCCAGCAAATCCGCAAGCACAGGAGATTGTAAAGCTCAGTGATCAGATCGCATCCCAGTACCTTGGAAACGCTCCATCTGCTTCCGTGAAGACGGGGCTCGCCCAGCTCCTTCTGTTGTCCTCATGTTTGTCCGGCTTCTTCTTCCGCAGGGGTGCCGGCATGTAGGTTGGCTGTCTGCTTTTGTTGGGTAGGAAGCGATTGAACGGTAAAGCGGACTTTGGCTCAATAGCTGAAATCCTTCGATAGGACATATCATCTTTATTAAAATCCTGCATTTTGAATGTAAATTCGGAATCTGTGTCACTTTCGCAACCTACAAAACAAGGCACAAGAATTGGCTTCACTCTCCAGATCATCCGTCTAACGAGAGCCCACGCAGCGTGCCTGCTTTGTCTTTCCCTTGGAAACCCAGGGCTCCACGGCTCACTGCAGGGAATATTTTTAGAAATTTGTCATGAAGTTGTGATAAGATCCATTAGGAGGAACTTGCTTTGCATACTGGAGGCGTGTGTGGTGCACTCTTCCACTGTTGCACACCCTCAGCAGGAAAAGTCCCAATTTACAGCTGAACCTCTTTTCTCCTTCACCTTCTTTGCCCCCAAAATTTTTCAGAAATTTGCTGATGGCATACATGTCAATAAGACCTAATGATACAAGTCAATAAGACACTTAAAATGAGATATACAAGTATTGTATTTGAATTGAAAATAAGGCATGCAGCCATCTAAAATTTCTGTGAGGCAAGAAATAAGAGAGGACATAGAAAAAGCAGCAAAAACCACAAGAGATCTCGAAGAGGTTTATCAGATCCTTCTGAGATGCCTGTAAGTGAGAATCGTGCATAGATATGAGAGTGGACCAAGTGACTTCTAAAGTCCCAAAGGAATGTCAAGTTCATACCCAGAAGACAACACAGAATTCAAGGCTTTTTTTTTCCCCGAAGGGTAGGTATGAAATAATATTTTTGATACAAAGTTATTTAATCACAAATTCAAAAGAATATACTGCAATAAACCTCAAGGTCAGTCTGATACAGATATAATCCGTTCTCTTAAAAATAAGTAAATAAATGTGTTCTTTTAAAGATGGGGAGAAAAGAGGTAGAGAACACTACCACAGATCCGAGCTAAGTTGTCCCCCTTCCCTGCCCTGCCCTGCCCTTTTTTCCTTCCTGCCTCTGTGTATTTGTAAAGAAGTTTGCTCCTGAGGCTTGCTCTCCACCAGGGCTCTCGGAGGCTGACAGCACAGGCCCTGACCACCTGAGACCTGCCAGCACTCAGCACAGCATGCTGCGCCTGCAGGGTTAACCTGAACTAGAGATGGCCTTGTCCCCGCCCTCCCCCTTGGCAGCAATCTACAGTAAATAACACTGAGGAGGGCCTACAGGAAGTGGTTCAACATCCAGCTCTGTGACCCTGAGCCCTGAGCAGGGTAAAGGAGAGGCATGGCGAAACGGGAGAAATTTAAGCAGCTCTGACCAGGAGGATTTATAGTCCATAATCTGGTGCTTGATTTGTTTTTACTACCTCCCAAATAAACAGTGTGTTTTTTTGGGAATGAGAAAAATGTCTTAATTCTTGCCAACATTTGTACATGTAAAATCTTTTCTACATTAATTTATTTATTTATATTTATTTTTTAGGAGAAAATAGGAGAGGGACAGACACAAGGAGAAGATAGGAGAGGGACACACAGACAGATAGACAGACTCATTGATCTGCTGTTCCACTTATTTACACATCTATTGGTTGCTTCTTATATTTGCTCTGACCAGGGATCGCGATCAAACCCGTGACCTTGGCATACTGGGACACTGCTCTAACCGACTGAGCTGCCCAGTCCGGCCTGTACATGTAGAATCTTAAATACACAAAGAGATTACTCTACTCTGGAATTTTTTCCCTGCTTTTATTGAGATATGACTGACATAAGACAGTGCACATGTTTAAGGTGTACAGAATGATTTGACTTACATATACAGTGAAATGATGACCACAAGGTTAGTTACCATCTGTCATTCTCGTATAGACACAAAAGAAGAAAAATTTTTTTCTTGTGATGAGAACTGTTAGGATCTACTTTCTAAACAACTTTCATATACACCATCTAACAGTGTTAACTATAGTCATCAGATGTACGCTACATGAATTCTTAAAGTTACTTCTTTTTATTCTTGAGTCTAGTACAGAGCCTAAACAGTAGACAAATATCCTTGATATAAAGGTTTCATATAAACCTAAGGAATTTGACTTTGTAATTCTGTTAACCTAAAAACATTATCTTAAGTTGTGGTGACCACTAATTTTGGATGGTAACCTAGTAGGTAGCAGAATTGTAATACACTAATCACATAAAAAAAGGCTTACCATCCTGGTGCCCCCAGGGTTTTTTATTACCCCGTAGTTATAATTACCAAGTCTTCACTTCCACACTCTTTGAACAAGGTCTGTAACTCCTTTCCCAGTGTCAGTTAGCAGTGTGACAGCGGCCCTCTGCTTTTAGTCCCATGTACCCGGCGCTCAGTCCAACGAGCAGCTGAGAAGTTTTCGATTCCACACCCCAGGGCCACTGCACCTGAACTATCAGGGGTCTGCACATGCCCACAATGCCTCAGTCCTCCTCCTTGTTCTTGTTTGTTGGCTGGATAAAAATTTAAACTTTAAATGATTTAGCTTTTTCAGTAAGACAAAGTAATATAATGAGTTCAGAATTTCAGCCTCTTTCTACAGCTTTAATCACTTAAATTATAAATCAGATCCGTTTCCTTAAAACCATAGTCATCTAGGCTATAAAAGTGTTACACCAAAATAGCAAACAGCCAACAAGTGCAGCAGTATTATAAAGGTTAACTCTTCAATAGCCATTCATATTTTCCATTGTTAATATTTAAATAAAAGCTAAAGAATTTGTTTTTTTGTGATGGGGCTTAACAGTTTGCTAATTTTTATTTTTGAAAGACAAACTCATTGTGCATTGCATTTATGACAAGAACAACAAATAAAGATTGAATTCTAGTTAATGATGTGCATGCTCATATATTTAGGACAAGTATAATTTACCCTAAATGCCTCAGAAAATAAAACGGATAAATTAATGCATAGAGAGAGGGACAGGTATGTGATGATGCACGTGTAATAAAATGTCAAGATAGAGTTAGGTGGTGCATATATGGATGTTCACTGTAAAATTCTTCCAAACTTTGATGACGTTTGAAATTTTTTATAATGAAACATTAGAAAAATCACTAGGTATTAAAATAATAATCAAAATGAACAAGAAAAATTCCTAACTCTCTAGCACAAACTCACAAAGAGAACTCAGTTTTTCACATTAGTGCTGGAAGCACAGAGATATCTGAAGCAATTTTCCTCGTGGTTTCAGTCCAGTCAGATCTGAACAGCGAGAGGTACACAGTCAGAAATGTCTCATGCCACCCAGCAGCCACAGGAGTAAGACTTGCATTTAAATAATTGATTTGACCATAAGATTGGAATTTGGAAAGAAGGCTGCTCCCCAAAAGGGAAGGACTTCCATTAACGTGTTCCTCTCATACTTATTCTGCCCTGGATTAGCTCTGGCCCGGACTGAAGAGATGTTTTCTAGCAGCATGTTTACTATTGTCACTTAACCAAAGTTTAACATAATACTATATCATGATAGCTATCAATCATTTCTTCTCTTAGAGGTAATTAAAAAGATGTTTGTCCTGTTTTTTTTCTTCTTGAGAAAAAATTTTTTTTAATCTTTTAGGGAGAAGTAAGAGAAGAAAGAAATTAACTCAGGAACGAGAACAGACTTTTTAGAATCTTTTTTTTTATGTTTAGATATACTAGTTAATAGGCCTCATAGTCACAGATTATTAAACTTGAATCTGGAGAGAAAAGAATCAAAATACATTATCACTGATAAAACAGGTCACAGTTAACTGTCTCTTCTTGTCTTCTCTAAAAATGAGAAGAAAAAAAGTGAAACTGTCACACCTGTAGTGGTGATACAGTGAGGGAGAATAAACTGTTTTTTAAAAAATTACACTTAAGCCCTGGCCAGGTTGCTCAGTTGGTTAGAGCATCGTCCTGATGCACTGAAGTTATAGGTTCGATCCCTAGTCAGAGTACTATGAGAAGCAACTAATGAATGCATAAATCAGTGGAACAACAAATCAATGTTTCTCTCTCCACCTCCTCCTCTTTCTTTAAAACCAATAAATAAATTTTTAAAAATTATACTTAAGTCTCCATGAAAATCTACTTCTTGGTGAAGTTGTTGCCTCAATAGTTTTCACCCCATTTTCTACTGTCTCCCATTCCCAATTTTCTTTTAACATGCAAACAAATAGAAATAAACAGACCGTCAAAAACACAACTCACCGTCACGTCCCCCCCTCAGTGTGATATCAGACGAGCAGCTGGTGAATGACCTAGACCCCAACGAGTCCAAGCTTTCAAAGGAATCCTCTCTCTTGTGGTTGCCGGGAGGGACAGGAAATTCTCCCCGCTCAGCACTCCAGATGTCACCGTAACCACTGTCCCTGCCACTTCTCTTTGGGCAGCTGGAGTCTTCAAGCGCCTAAAATAATTTTTTTGAAGAGCAATAAGTTCGCATAAAATTCCAACACTATAAACAGGCATTACTTGTTTGTTTGCATAGCGCAAGTTGTACCTCATGTGACAGGCAAGGCAATGAGATTTCCCCATCAAAAATATATGATTAAAAAAATCAGAAAATAAATCTGTTTTTCCACAACTAATACAACAGTTAGTCCTCATGGAACAGTAAAGAGGTATTCAATACTATTTAATAAAGTACTATAGTCTATTTAAAAATAAAGAAGAGGGAACATTTCAGTAAGAAAAGCTACTAATTAAATTAATATACTAAAATAAATGATTATTTACAGTTATCTGGCAATAAATATGGAGTCAAAGAGAAAAATCAACCTTGACTTTGACATTTAAAGAAGATCAATTAATTATATTCAGCCTACCTTCAGCATATATTTGAGGTGATATACATTAAACAAAAAAAATAACAGTTAACTTCTTTAACAAAAAGTTTAAAAAAGAGAAGAGCAAATACAGCAGGTATATATGTCACAGAATTTATTTACTTTCATGCATTAGGAAACCCAGATCTAAACGAAAATAATAAGCACACTTGTTTGCCAACATATAAAATATTTTTCCTAGATCTAAATAAAATATTTATTTGACTTATGTAAGAGACATACATAGAAATAATTTGACTTCCAGTCAAGATGGTGGCATAGAAAACATGGCTCACCTCCTTGCACAATCACATAAAAATTACAACTAAACTATAGAACAACCATCATTCAGAAACATCAGGAAGCAGTATAACAGTGGTATCCCCAAGCTCAGCACAAGTAGCAGCCATCTACAGATTGCCTTGTAGCTTATGTTATATGACCCCAGAGAAAACATACTCAGGGGCTAACCTTGGACATGCCAACAGCAATCAATGCTCAACTACAACAGGAAAGTGTACACAGCCCACACAGTGGGCATACCTTGAGTATTCAGCTTGGGTAATAGAAAAAGGTCTGCCACTGGATCCTACAAGACACCTGCTACATTAGGCCACCCTACCAAGCCTAGGAGATATAGCAGCTCTATCTAATACATAGAAACAAACCCAGGGAGGCTGCCAAAATGAGGAAACAAGAAACATGGCCCAAATGAAAGAACAGAACAAAACGCCAGTAAATGAACTAAACAAAATGGAGATACGCAATTCACTAGATACAGAGTTTAAAACGCTGGTTATAAGGATGCTCAAGGAACTTAGTGAGGACCTCAACAGCATAAAAAAAAGTCCAGAAACAAAGCATACACTAATTAAAATAAAGAACAATTCACAGGGAATTAACAGTAGAGCAGTTGATGCCAAGAATCAAGTCAACAATTGGAACATAAGAAAGCAAAAAAACAACCAATCAGAACAGCAAGAAAAAAAAAGATTCTAAAATAATGAGGATAGCGTAAGGAGCCTATGGGACAACTTCAAACATAAACATTTGTACCATGGGGGTGCTAGAAGAAGAGAGAGAGCAAGAAATTGAAAACCTATTTGAAAAAATAATGACGGAAAACTTCCCTAACTTGGTGAAGGAAATAGACACACAAGTCCAAGAAGCACAGAGAATCCCGAACAAGATGAACCCAAAGAGGCCCAAAGCAAGACACATCATAATTAAAATGCCAAAGGTTAAAGACAACAGAGAACCTTAATGGCAGCAAGAAAAAAGCAGTTAGTTACCTATAAAGGAGTCCCCATATGATGGTCAGCTGATTTCTCAAAAGAAACTTTGCAAAAAAAGGGATTGGTAAGAAATATTCAAAGTGATGAAAAGCAAGGATCTACAACCAAGATTTCTCTACCCAGCAAAGCTATCATTTAGAATCAAAGGGCAGATAAAGAGCTTCCCAGACAAGAAAAAGCTAAAGGAGCTCATCACCACCAAACCAGTATTATGTCAAATGTTAAAAGGTCTTCTTTAAGAAGAAGATCAAGAATATGAACAATAAAATGGAAATAAATACCTATCAAAAATTGATTCTAGAAAACAAAACAAACAAGCAGAATCACAGATACAGAGAACACTTTGCTGGTTGCCAGTGGGGAAGGTGGTCTGCAGGACAGCAAAAAAGATAAAGGGATTAAAAAGCCATATTAGAAGTTACAGAATAGTTGCGGGGATGTAAAATGCAGCATAGGAAATAAAGTAGCCAACGAACATATATGCATGACCCACGGACATGGACAACAGTGTGGGGATTGTCCGAGGGAGTGGAGAGGGTTGAGTGGGGGGCAACAGGGAAAAAACTGGGACAACTATATTAGCATAAACAATAAAATATAATTTTTAAAACATATATAGAAATATGGCAAATGTCATTAATCATTGGTTTATAAATTAGATAGAACTCACTCAAAATAAGTGTTTTTAACTAACATTCCTCTATGAAAGTAAATGACAAAATACAACTAAACCTTTTAAAATTGGGATTTAAGTAAAATTTCAAAAGCCTGTAGCATAATCATGATACAGAGTAATAATCAATGAATAGTTATAACTCTAATGTAATACATGAACTTTGATTAAATCATGATTCACATAAAGAAGCTATGAAACAGAGTTGGAAAATAATTGGGAATTTTTTAACAGGAATTGGACATTATATAGTGATAATTTTATGAATTTTCTTAAATATATTAGACATCGCGGCTGCATGGAAGAATCTCCGTGTACAAAAACATCTTACTTTTAAGACATGAATACTGAGTATTTAGGGGTGAGAGCTATGCAGTTTACTTTGAAATGGTTAAGGAAATAAAACGGATGAATAGGTACATAAACAGATAAAGTCAATATGGGACATTTTTAATAACTGAATCAGATGGTATATATTTGTCATGTTCTTTCCATTTTTAATTATGAACATTCTCAACATATGAAAAAGTTGACAAAAGAGTGTTTACAATGAGTAAGCAGCAGCTGTCTCAGGCATACTGTCAGCTAAGGCTGGATTTGTCGAGTGCTTAAAAAATCAGTCACATCTAGCAGACTTCTGTGCGACGGTCCTGTGCTTTGGATGTTCCAGCGGACACCCTGCCGTGACAGCACAGGAACCTACCTCGTAGCCCATTCCCAAGCAGTTGGGATAGCTGGGCCTAAGGCCGGTACCATCTAGATACATGTCAAACTACAAAAAAATTAAAGATGTTAAGTGAATCTTTTGAACTACTAGGTTTCTTAGACAAGCCTGTTATAGCCTTAGGGTCCTCAACACACAGCGAGATGATTTTTGACCTCGTAATGTTCAAGTTATTTATAACAGGCCACCATGGTTACGTAAGAACCTGGGTCTGTACTTGATGCCTCGTTATATGTAGGACTTCACTCTGGCAAGTCACCTAGCTGAGTCACCTCCAACTCATAGGGTGACTCAGGTGCAACAGCTTACCCAGCGTATTTTTTTAGCTGATATCTTGGGTTGGCCTTAAGCAGTATTTACTTAAGTTGGAAAGTGTGATGAACACAGTGGTTTTGATTTTAACAGAATAGATGCAAAACAGGTCATAGAGTTACACACCTCTTACGGCTATCCCCACTCTATAATAATGGAATGAAACCACGGCTACAGTTTTTAACTCTCAAAAAATTTTTACCTACTCCCACCGATTGGACCCTGGTGACAGAAAACAGCCTTTAATAAATAAAGCATTCTCAGCACAACAACTGTACCAGCATTACTCAGACTCAGTCAAACTGCCATAAAAAGGAACAAGGGCTATTAAGAGTAATATAGAAGCCAAAGTCCCACGTTGCTTTTTTTTTCAAACATTTTATTAATCCTCACCTGAGGCTATGTTTTTATTGATTTTAGAGAGAAAGGAAGGATTAGAAAGAGAAACTTCAATGTGTGAGAGAAATAGCCATCAGTTGCCTCTCATACACTCCATGACCAGGGATTGAACCCACAACCCAGGTATGTGCCTGACCGGGGATCGAACCCACAACCTTCTTGGTGTACTAGGACGATGCTCCAACCAACGGAGCCACCCAGCCAGGGCCCATGTTGTTTCTGACGGAATGTTTTCTTAGCTGAAATTACCAAGGCAAAGCTCTGATCATGCCCAAAGCCCTCTGCGCATTCCTCCATCAGTCGTACCCTCCTCCACTGCAGTGACTTACCTGCTCATCTGTCTCCAACGACAACAGTGCTCTGTAAGGGTGGGCCCTTTGCCTTGTGTGAGTGGTTTCCCAACACCTGCTACAATGCTTGTGCATGATAACATCTCAACTATTACCCGAATTAACTGTTTCAAAGAATTTGAGTAGAATGCTATAAACTCTTTACAATTCAAAAATAATAAAAATCAAAAAGGAAGATCTGAACTTCCTAGGCTATAATACCACCTTTCTACAAATGCATGTGGCTGAACTCAGGCAAAACTAAGGATCACACAAGATGTAAGGTCACGTGATCATTTTCATCCTGGTCTAAAATCTCTATCTTCCATTCACAACAACCAACATTTATTGCATCCTTAATGTGCCAGAGCCTAATTAATGCCTTACTGGTACCTATCATTTACTCACCATGAAAACCCAAAGAGCAACTACAATTAGCATATTATTTTGACTACATATTTTGTTCTGAACACTGCAAATTCCCCTAGGTAAGTATCCCCTAAGAGAAGCTGATTTTCCCTTTCGGATCTTACAAATGAAGGTTTGGCAGAACTACAGTCAAACCTGGCATGGGCTCTCCGCAAACTGACCTGAAACACCCCAGAGCTGCAAACTGATTCCAGGATATGAAGGACTAGACATGTGTTTAAAACGAAGCATTCTAACTTTAAAAAGCCTTACCATGTTTCATGTAACCGCATTCCCTACTCTTTAGGAAACAGAAGCAGTGTGTACAGTTGTGGAGATGTTGAGGTATAGGCATGAGAGACAATCATCCATGACAAAGAGGTATTAAGGTTTTTTTAAAATGAGTACCTTCCACACATTAATAGTCCCAAAGAACCTTTCTACTACAGGTTGAATTCATCATGAACATAGAGTCATACAAAGCGTCTAAGAAAGGAACTGAATGTCTATGTCATCAACTTGCCTAGAATTAAGAGATAAATACCTATGTCCAGAGCCTATACCCTGGAAACTGCTCTGAAATAGACTCACTCCCCGGTGGGGACAGAGGAAGCCAGCAAACGAGTTAACTGTCCTCTCTACCATCCCGAACCAGACCAAAGCAAAGATGGTCAGAGCAGCCAAATTCACTACAGAGAAGGAGAAGAATGAAGAAAAGTGCAGGGAAAACAGAACAGCGGGGAGAGACGGAAGAGGAGAAAATAGTATTCGTTATGGTAGTCATCTTCCTACACATTAGCGTACTCACCTTGGTCAGAGCTTGTCCTAAAAGATTCTCAAATGCTCTCAAATTAAGATATGGACCATTATAGTAGGGATTACTTTGTGCTTTTCTTCCCAGCCAGTACAATGTTATCAAAACCTTTAAAAAAATTCCATAAGACAAAAAGATCAGTTTATTTATAGCAACTAAGGGCAAGCTCAAACGCAGGAGAGCACTCTAAATAAGAGTATATCTTTTAAATATGCCCTTTTCTTTTAAATTATGAGAAGGGTCGTTAAAAACGTTATTTACTGTTCCTAGGTTTTGGTCTCTGAGCATGTTCTCAGACCGAAAGTGCAGATCCCAACAGGTATTCATACACATGAAGAGGGGAAAAAATTATAAAAAGAACACAAAGTAAACTTTTAAAGCAATTGATATTTTTCCAACAACAAATTTAGCAAATGGATACATGGAACCCCTAATTCTCAGCTTTCTTAAGGACATTGTACTCTTATGTTTTAATAAGCTGTGAGAGTATTAGACATTCTTCTAACCCATGCAGAATATTATAGATATTATATAAGTACAATTACCCAGACTTCTTAAACATTCCCTGTTTTTCCTTCAAGTCTGACTTGGTAGTTTCTGACTTGCTCTCCTAGAAATCCAAAGCATGTTCACTTGCCTTTACCACATTACTAACATATAAGGAACCACTTTCTAATGTTAAACTGTCCTCTTATTACCATGAAGATAAAAATTTAAGTTTTAAACATATTTAAACATATTTGGAGCTTGTGACTGGTTGGTTTCTAGCAAAAATTTCCTTAGAAAAAGGATACAGAGTGTATCAGGGATGTCTAGATCCCACTGTCTTATTGCAGAACAAGCAAAACACCATTTATAATATTCCATTAAACATAGCTTACATTTTTCACTCTCCTGTCAGTCTCTTCTTGCCTGTAAAGAAAAAGAAGAAATAGCTATTAATAACTAAGAACTTTAAATTATTAATTATTAGCTAAAGTCCATTTTTATTCTGAAGTTCTATGAATATCATACCACCTGGGAAGTTTGGAAATCTCAGGCTACCTATTATCCATCTGAAAAATTTTTCTATATTGATTTCAGGAAATATAATGGTCAGTTTCTATGAAAAGGTTGCATTTTTCACATTATTTTATTCAGTGCAGTCTGGTTTCTGAAATGCATTACTTGCATGCTTTTGTATTTACTTTAAACAATGTCTAAACCCTATCAAATGGGGAAAATGTGCTCACGGCAGGAAACAATCAGGATACTGGAGACGGGAAGAGTCATTTTGCACTGAGATCTCCTTTTCAGTGTCCACATGGAGCATTTTCACCCCAAGTTTCCCAGAGCTAACTGGTCGGAGACCAAGACACTGCAGAGGTTGAGAAGCAAACTTTAAACAATAGCTGTGACTCTCCTCCTTAAGAGATTTTGTTCTACTACAAGAATCATGGGGGGTTTTCTCCTTACCAATAAAAAGATATGATATTCATGGGGCAGTTAAAAAATAGGCTGATGTCACCACAATGTTGAGGAAGCAATGACATGAGTTAACTAATGAAAGGGATTTAGGTTGCCCTAAAATAATGTGCGTTCGGTCATTAGAGGCACTGGAGCAGGATCACCGTGAATTCAGAGACACTGTAGAAGCCTGAGCTAGGTGGCTCCTAAGGTGGCTTCTCAGTTTAAGAGTGTGCAAGTAGTATATTTGTTAAGATAAAATATATGCAGGGGGATCAGAAAAAAAAAAAGAATTATCTTCAGGAGAGCAGGTCCCTTGTAGTACAGGCTTCCCCTGCTAGGTGAGTGTTCTAGGAACCCATCTGTATCAGTGTACCCGCTGGCGTTATTGTGAGAGGCTGTGTTCAGCTTCAGTGAATTTGTTTTGAAGACTCCTTCAATGCATCTGCCCATTTCATGATGGGTGACTTAGGCGTGCACTGAGTGTTCAGCAGTGTTTGACCAAAAATGGCATGATCCCCATGCCCCATCTACCCTATTCACCCAATCTCACTGTGAGTGACTTTTTTTTTTGTTTCTCCAGATGAAAAAAGTCTGCAAAGGGAAACATTTTCCTGGTGTGGAAGAGGTGAAACAAAAAATGGCAGAAGCACTAAAATGATTCAAAACTGATGAATTCAAAAATTGTTTTGAGCCATGGAAAAGACATCTCAATAGGTGCATTGCATAAATGGAGAGTACTTTGAAGGTGACTGAAGTTTAAACATATGAGAATAAATATGCAGTTTTTAAAAAATAAATCCTGGGTATTATTGGGTCCCCTGTTGCACACACATGTCATATGTAAGGCATATATAAAACACACATAAGACATAGAAAGAAAGAAAAGAGGAAACATGCACACACACATTGAATTTAGCTTTTAAAGAATCAATGAGACAGCTATGACCATTTCTTTCCATAAAACAAACTTAAACTGAAATGAACCTAAGGACAACATTGTACCTCCCATTGCTATAAATGCAAGGTATGGCCTATTCTGCCATCAACAGGCACAAATAATCAGTGAACTTGGTACTATAACCTTTCACGCACTTTACATTCCCTTCTAAATATGAGCACTTGTAACATGCTCTTGAACATAATGATACCTGAGCCAGACACATTAGTGTGCTATCACTGAATTGCAGTGCCAGGAATTCAAAGACTCAATGATTTGCTGGAGCCACTGGAGGCCACTCTCTGACACACAGCAAACGCATCCACTGCTAGAAGTCAGTGATCCGCCAGTGTCTTTGCCCGCTGTGGCCAGGGCACAACCCCAAGGCCTTATAAATAGAAAAGGCCCAAGGGTGGGGGGGAAGCTCATGGTAACACAAGACTCTCCTGGAGCCAGCCAACTTACTGCCCAACCCATCAGAACCGAAATTAAGGCAGCCTTATCTCCAAAGTTGGCTCACTCCTCCGTAACAAATATTTCAAGAGTTGACTTAGCGAAAGCACCGTGTTCAAGAGCATGGGCTTTGGCTCAGATCTGGGTCCCAAACTAGGTTTGTCTTGGCAATTTATTGGATTCTCCAAACTTCAGTTTCCTTTTGGAGAAAGTGGTGATAAGATCCCCTACTGCAATAGGTTAGGAGGAAATGGACCCAGGTCCTTAGCAGAGTCCCGATCCTTAAGGCGAGTGCTCACCAGGAAGCCATTAGTATCACTAAACAATGCAAGGACAGGGCCCATCGTATTCAGATGGGTATTCTGTGTGGGTAAGCCTGCGCTACCCACACAGGCTTCCTAGCAGACCCATGCTGGACCCAGGATTTAAAACTGCAGCCAGCCTGCCTGACACTCCCATCCCTCATCACTGCTTTTGGTTTGTATTTATAACCACCTCCTGCATGCATTCATTTATCATCTGACTCTCCTCCACCAGAATCCAAAAGAATTTTTGTGGTTTTGTTTACTGCCATATCCCAAGTGTCTTCAAGACAGGGTCTACCACCTGGCCAGTACATACGAATATTTTATTTAAAATGTCTAGCACAAAGCCCTGGCTGGCATAGCTCAGTGGATTAGGCGTGGGCTGTGAACCAAAGTGTCACAGGTTCGATTCCCAGTCAGGGCACATGCCTGGGTTGCAGGCCATGACCCCCAGCAACCACACATTGATGTTTCTCTCTCTCTCCCTCCATTCCCTCTCTAACAAATAAATAAATAAAATCTTTAAAAAAATGTCTAGCACAGTGCATGACACACAGATGCTCTCAAATATTGGTTAAATATATTTATTTAACTTACAGTAATTTAATTTAGCAAAAGAAAGTCTGAAATAATAAAAGCTCAGGAGATTCTTAATAAATATTCATATGATGTCAAAGAACAATTAAATTGGATTAGCTTATTAAAACATTGAATTTTGACTCAAATTGTATTGATATTCATAATTGAGCTTCTTTTTTAAACTACTATCTTGAAAATCATAATAAAAGTGAATTCTTTACAATCATACATCAGTAACGCAACAAAGAGCACAGATTCAAAAACAAAGACCAACTTCAAAACACTGAATACAAAGATTGAATGCTACTCTCTACAATAAAATTACTTCCCAGCAGAGTTCTGAAATACAGAGACCAAAGAATCCAAGCCTGCCTTGAAACCCAAATTTAACATGAAAAAGTACAGTGATGTAACATTAATAGTTTGAAAGAAATGACTATGTTGAATAGGTTGCCAGCCTTCTCCATATATCATGCGCTAATTTTTATTTTTTATTTTTTTAATTACAGTTGACATTCAATATTATTTTATATTAGTTTCCAGCATACAGCATGGTGGTTAGACAACCATGTAATTTACAAAGCAATCCCCTCGATACTGCAAGTCCCCACTTGGCTCCCTGCATATTATTACAATATTGACTACAGTCCCTATGCTGTACTTTACATACACTGATTTTTAAGTACTGTGGTTGATATTTAAGAAGTAGCGAGTATAATATAGATATAACCTTCCACTCTGTTAACGGAATCACTCTGGTAATTTCTTCACCTCCTGACGGAGGGCCAGAAGACACACACCCATTGCAGACCTCGGAACGTGCCGTCAGAGGCCTGGAAGGGAAGAGCCACCAGCTCACAAGTGAGCCCATCAGTAAATGCCTCCCTCTGTACCATCTTATCCTGACAGCTGTTAGGTGGACTTAGGAGAACCCCGGAGCTCTAGGTCTGGTCCTGTCTTTATTCACAGCTATTTTAGAATACGAGCACAAATTATCAGTGAAGGAGTACCACCTCTAACCAAAGAACCAGGGAAAAGGAATTCATTTAGAAGCGCTGTCTCCCTGTGGGAGGTCCCACGGCCTTCCTCCTCGGGCCTTCCCCGAGGAGGCAGCTTCGCCAAGAGGGCAGGCTCGGGGGCCAGACCTCCTGGGTGTGTTCTGGACCCACTTTGATTTCACTGTGAGAACTTGGTCATGCTACTTAACTCTGCGTCTCCAGAGTCTCACCTGGGAACAGCACACCACTCTCATTGGGCTTAAATGAGAAGGTTTAACAAGTGGCTTGATGCAGGTGGATCAAGTAACGGAGACATTTCAAGACTGTCCTCCAATTATCCACCTCAACCAAACAGCACGGAGGAAGGGAAGTAGCCAGAGGACGGGTGAGTTCCCCAGCACAAAGTGGCCCCTGCCCAGAGACACATTTCCGTGAAGCACAATTCAAGACACTTTCATATAACGCATTCCTTGCCCTCTTGCCATGGAAGGCTTTGAATAAGAAATTGTTTCTAGAATAAGAGCAAATAAAGGGCAAGGCAACCTGGTATGACACGTTACCAAACATGTTATTGACCAAACATCCACGTTGGCACCAAGCCAGCCCTCTTCGTCTGTCCTTTGTCATGGGCTGCTCCTGGGCCAACACCCTTAAACTTTCCAAAGCTCAAAATCTGAGGGAAAAAAACTTGTTCAATGTGCCCACCTAGCCAAAATCTGTCTCCCTCATATCTGAGAGCAGAGCTTGGGAAGAAAGCCTTAAGGGACAAGACTATAGTTTGATGATAGTTTGGTACAGCCAATTGTGTTCTAGGCCTTCGTCAAGTATATTTCCAAATACCTCTGTTTATGAAAGAGCTAGCCCCGGGCCCCCATGCCTGCACCCACCACAGATGTCCCTGGAGTCCCTTCCAGTGTAGTGCAGAGAGCTGAGACTGCACCCGACTCATGGCTGTATCCCGGGAGGCAACCGCAGGTCTGGCCAAGGGCAGCCAGGCATTCACATGTCCATGCCTAAGTTACCTAAAGCCTCTCACTGATCAACGACGTCCAGCAGATCAAGGATGCAGAGAGATGGACATTTTCCCAAATACGATAAAGCTGCACAGAGTCTGAAACAGAATCCCGCTTCTTTTTTTAGGCTCCCTTCCCATACTCCATACACCCTTTTTTCCTCAAAGAACCAACTTCC